ATCGCACTGCAGCGTGACCATCGCGGTTCGGAGTACCATCGGGTTTCAGCTATATTCTTACAAATATAAAAAAAACGTGCATAGATTACTTAGTTTAGTATATATGCATGCATTTTTTCAATAATTTCGATAACATTAGAATTATAAGAAACTCGTTTCATATGAAGTTAAGACACATTGCTTTTAAAAGGAAATTATCTGTTAATTGCTGTTCGGTGTTAGCCAAGGCTCCGTGTTGAAGATCGTACTTTGACCTATAATTGTTTACTTTTTTTACATTGTGACTTGGATGGAGAGTTGTCGCATTGGCACTCATGCCACATCTTTTTATTTATAATTATCAAAATACCATTTGTTTTGTTTCAAACGTTTATTAAAGCGGAATAACAGAATAAAATCTCGCTATTAGCAGTCAGTTTGGTTCAATTTGGTCAAAATCAGATCGAAAACATCGAAAATGTATCATTGACTTGCAAGTCAATAATTCAACCTTAGTTGAACCCGTATTCATATAACCCATACTTGACCTGTAGCTAAAGATGGGTTACGCATGCCATAAGCGTGCTGAGTTATTAAAAGAATAGAATGTCAACATTGAAAATTGAATCAAGAGAGTCACAATAAGAATAAACATTTCTTTGACCAATTCGGCCCATAAGAAATCCTTCATAATGTTACATTTTTTAAAATTTATGACATGAAATCAAACTTGTAGACCTGGAAAAATCTTAATTACACAACTCCACTTGCTTAGGCCTATCTGTCTATTTATATTTATATGTTATGTTTATATCGTGTCGAAAGAGTATCGGCAGTCTTCGGAGATAATCTCGTTGGTTAATTAGATGGCGTCTAGTCTGAAACACACACGAAATGCTGATATAGTATAACGAACCCATGCATTGTTCATTGTTTCTTTTTGACTATTGTAATTTAGTTTTCGTTTTAGTATGTTGTGAATCAAATCTGAGAATTTAAGTCAAATCTGTGATCATGAATAAATAAAGGCAACAGTAGTATACCGCTGTTCGAAATTCATAAATCGATTGAGAAAAAAAACAAATCCGGGTTACAAACCAAAAATGAGGAAAACACATCAAATATAAGAGGAGAAATACAACACAACAGAAACATAACATTAAAATGTAACACATACGGAAACAAACTATGATATAACAATGGCCATTTTCCTGACTTGGTACAGGACATTTTAAGAAAAAAATGGTGGGTTGAACCTGGTTTTGTGGCTAGCCAAACCTCCCGCTTTTATGGCAATGTTAAATATAACATTTTTCATGAATTTGACAGCTAATGCCCCTTTAAGGATATTGTTTTCTCTTGGTTATACTGTTCTTTATTTTATTTTCTGTCTTTTTGAAATAATTAATTTCATTACTCTTATAAAAACATGATAAATATATTCTTGCTTTTTTCTTAGCCATGTTAGCAGTGCTAAAGATCTGGGACTATTATATTATTAGTATAATAGTCCCAGTAAAGATGCAAATCAAAGCTATAATTAGAATTACACGGCTTATCAACATGTTTTGACGACGATAAGACAAATGACCCAATAGAAAGGAGGAGGGGGCATGCTGGTGTTGCGATAGGTGTTAACAAAAAATTACAAAAGTTGAACTTTTACCGGGTGGATGTAATAGAGTAATAGCTATCCGTTTTAGTATAAAACAACCGTTGGTGTTAATATGTGTCTACATGCCAACTAGAGGTGGTAATATCACTATTGATGACTTTAAAACTATATTAGATGAGCTTAGTGAAATGATAGAAAAATATCTGCCGACTACTGACATAATCATAGGAGGTGCTAGAATGCATCACTACATAGAAATGAGCGTAAAATACCTCGCGACACTGTTTTTGATGAGTTTTTGAAATCAAATGGACTGTCAATACCACCAGCTTGTAAAAAGCTAAGCACCTTTTTTCATTTTTCATTTGAATCTCAAATTGACTATTTTGTGGAAACTAGGATGTTGGCCAAGAAATACATGTCATTTAACCGTGAATTTCAAAATCTATCGACTCATGATCCAATTATGATTTCCATTAACTGTTGTCTTGAAAGGATGGATATAAGCACTAAAAATCCTAGACCTTTACGTATAAAATGGGATAATATTGATAAACAAAAATATGAAACTTTATAACAAGAGAGATTAAAAGATTTTAAAGAAGTGTCTGTTTTTGAATCAGTGGAAAATATTGAGAACATTTTAACAAATTTTTCTAACATTATTGTGACAACCGCTGAAAGCCTTTGTCCAAAAAGGAAAAAGCGATTTAAGAGAAAAAAGGAGTGGACACCAGAAATGACTGAAATTGTTAAGGTGGGTACAATTCACTATTGGAAATGAAAAAATGATGGAAATAAAAACAATAAATTTAGCATTAACTATATTCGAATGAAAGAGCAAAAGAAAAAAAAACTCCGATCTGCTCAAAGAAGATTGGCTGCTGAGAAGAGAGAAAATACGTTTACCAAAATTATGGAATTAAATGAGAATAATGATAAACATTTTTTTGCATTAGTAAATAAGCAGAGAAATTCAAGGTCATCCACTACTTCAATTTCAAAAGTTAATAATAGACTGTATAATAATCCAGCCTCTATTTTGGGGGCTTGGGCTGATTAATTTGAAGATTTGGCTTCACCATCTGAGCAAGATAGAATTGATAGTAAATTCTTTAACATGGTTAATAATGATATTGAAACGCTTACAGACATTAAGTACAAGAGAACCGATTCAGGAAGTGACCGAGTATGAATTGAATAAATATATTTTATCTTTTAAAAATGGTAAAGCTCCAGATGTTGATAAATTCACCATAGAACACTTGAAATATGGGGGATATACTGTTATAAATATACCGATAAAATTGATAAACTTGATTTTTAAAACTGTTGTAGTCCCAAATAATCTAAAAATTGGGATAGGATGCCCTCTGTTTAAAAACGGTGGAAAACCAAAAGAAGATCCGAATTCTTACAGACGTATAACTATAACTAGTGCTGTTGGAAAAACTATAGAAAAATTACATTTATCTTGGAACAAAAGCTCCATTAAAAATACTAGTAAACAAAGTAGGTTACAAAAGGGATTTACTGAAGGGGAATCTCCTACTGTAGCGGGGTTGATAGTAACTGAACTAAGAATAGAGGCTAAGGAAAAGCGTTTACCGATATATATTGGATTAACTGATGCTAAAAAAGCGTTCGATATAGTATGGCATGCTTGACTATTTAGAGAAATGCATAAAATGAACATTTCAGGAGATAATTGGTTATTATTCAGGGCTTGGTATGAAGACTTAAATACAAAAGCAAAATGGGAAGGGAACTTTTCACGTGGCTTTAAAGAAAAGCAAGGCGCCCGTCAAGGAGGTGTATGGTCTCCAACTGCGTATAAAGTTTTTATTAACTCTTTACTTAAAATCTATGAGGAAAATAAAATAGGATCGTGCATATGATAAATATAATGTGGTGTTCCAACTGTAGCTGACGACGTTACATTGATAGCTAACGATCCATATGATCTTCAAACTATGATAGATATTCAAATGGCCCATGCAAACAAGTTTAGATATATTATAAGTGACCAGAAATCATGTGTCTTGAAAATAGGAGACAAGTCTGAACATACCTGGTATATGAATGATCAAAAGTTGAATACTCCGATTAATGCTACTCACTTAGGAATAAAAAAGGGACATAAGTTCTAAATTTTGAGTTAAAGAAGTAATACCAAATAAAATACAAACTGCCCGTAAAACAGTATATGCGTTGATGGGTACAGGTCTCTATGGCTTGAATGGGATTAATCCAATGGTCTCAGTTCACATGATAAAGTGCTTTGTCATACCAAGGCTACTGTATGGCCTGGATGTTATTCGATTACCTAAAACTGATATTTTCAATTGCTGAAACAAATCCAGCACCTGCCGTCTCGTACTGCTAATTCTGCTGTTTTAATTCTCACTGGTCAGCTACCTATTGAATCCGAAATACACAAGAAAATGCTTTCCCTATACCGGAACATTGCTCAAAATCATGGATCTGTTGAACGCAGCATTGCTGTAAGACAGCTTGCTTTGAAAACAAGGGACTCCGAAAAGTTGGTTTCTTCAAATTTTAAAATTAACAGAACTGTATGAATTGCCATCTCCTATAGAGGTATTGGATTTAGTTCCAGAAAAACATATTTGGAAAAAATTGGTTTATAACGCAGTGAATGACTTTTGGCAAAACAGTTTAATTCTCGAGGCTAGGACTAAAGTATCACGTAAGTGTGATAAAGGATTTAAATACCTTAAGTATAAGTATAAATAAGTCTGTAATGTTAATAAGGTTTTCATGATAGGGGTATACTACGACTAAGATTTAGGACTTTAATGTGTATCCTAAGAGTAGTCATAAGTATGAGAAAGGAGAAACAGACATTTGCTGAGACGAGTAAGTTTTACAGTCAATTTGCATTGTGGATATATATATATATTTATATATATATATATATTATTGACGAGGAAAAAGGCACAAGTGAGATAAAGGACAAAATGACGGTTGATGAATCTATCAAGTTTTAGATTTTATTATATGACTGTATATACCAGTATGAATATTTATAAATAAGTGTGGTGGTGGTGTATATAAGTGTATAAAGAAGAAGTTTTTAACATTAATGCTGCATATTCAATAAATATAGGATAAGGGATTCTACACTTCAAGAGGAATTACCAACTGAGGTGGTTCATGTGGAAAAGGTGGAATGTACAGAATAGGTAACAGGTAACAGGTATTATAAACATGAAAATTCATATAATTTGTAGGCGGTATATAAGATAAGATCTAGTAACATAATGAAATTTCTCTACAAAGTCTTTATTTTTAATGTAAAATTTAATTTACTCCATTTTGTACTTAAATTAAAAAACCTCGTACGGGATCGTCAGAATTATTTCAGAAACCAGTTCTACCGGAAGTGCGAAAGCGCGGGAGTTAGCCAAAACAATCGCGTAAGGCATGGGACCAAAACCAACCCCTTCCAAGCAAGGAAACACGCTTTTCTCCTATTTTAGCAAAAGCCCAAGCATTAATAAGAGTAGTGGATCTGTAAGCGATACAAGTGAAATATTGTCACCGAAGCGATCGCCGAATTTGAAGGACAAAGCTAATGCCAACTCAACTCCAAAACAAACTGCGAAGTCATCAAAATCGAATGATGAGCTAGTTAAAGGTACAGTTTTTTTGGCCTTATTGGTCTTAGTGGTCTCTTAATAGCATGGTTGCATTACAGTGATAGAGGTCTGGGACTTGTAGAATTCAAGGGACATATATACAAATTATGCAATGACACTGACAGTTAACTCCCCAGGTCGTTTTAGTGTTGCGGCTATAATATTTTCCCTGACACTATACATGCTATAATTATTTTGAAGATCTTATTTTCTTGTCTCAATACACATGATACATTACTGCAAAATCGATCGATGCCCGAATTTTTGAACTTTCATCTAACATGTCTAATTACCGTTATGATCATAAAACTTATATCACCTTTAATTGTATTTCCTTGAAGTCAGACAATAGAGGTAATTAAGAGTAATTAAATAGGTGTTAATTGCCCTTTGGGTGATAACATCTGATATGAACACACCAAGTAGACATTTATGACAAAACTTAAACCAAGCCTGATCTTTTCCTTTTTGATATAAAAAAAGTTTCTTTTTTGTGCTAGATATTTTGCTGGTAGTTTTTGACAAAAGGAAAAATATAATCATGATAATTGTATAACTATAAATGAATATTTAAGACATAAACTGAAACCACTGTTACTTTAATTGTATTCTCAGGTATGTATTGAACAATATAAAGCAGACCTGCCAACTATCCCGATTTATGAAGTTATTAAAGAATAATTCATATTATTGTAAAAACCAAACATTGTAGTGCCGCCAGTGATCAAGCACTTCTCTTTTGAGTCTCACCACTTCTCCCTGTCAGTTTCAAAAAGAGAAGTCACTTCTCCCTATGATTCTGAAGTAGTCCAACACCTAAAATGGACATCACTAGAACAAAGTGGCCATATATATCACAGGAAGGTGGTCTAATACCACTGAAATGATTTTGGGAAATATGCATGACAAATGCTTCCATTTTGTGAATACCGCGAACACTCATTCTTCCCAAGAACCATCGATCCAGGATTGGAAGGCTTTTCCTCCTGGGGTTGTATATGCACTGTCGATGACAAAGCTGAATTAAATTCAAATTTTGGGGGAGGGTGTAGTTCAGTGTGCACACCAAATCCATGGCAGTAACCAGTTTGTTGATTGTGGCCATTATCAGGATTATTTGGCAGAAGCAGAACATTTGGAAATCATTCCCATATTTTGGAATTATTTACCAGTTTTGAAACCCTTAACCCTTTCGCCGATGAGACCCGGTTTACCGGGATTCACGTTTCAGACAGCTGACGATGAGTCCCGTTTTACAGGGATAGGAATACCTCTTTTACATTTCCCACTCAAAACAGTGCAAACACAAGTTATCTTTCTTTGTTGAATACCCGGATGAAAGTGTAAACATGGCGCTTCCATTTTTATTGACATTTATTATGAAGATCTCCCACTTGAGTAATAGTAGCCAGGGAAGCCATCGTCTCAGAGTAGCTTCTGTCTGGGCAGCTATCGGTGAAAGGGTTAAGGAGACCAACAAAGATGCACTGTGTGAAAGACCAACAGCTGTAAAAGAGCTGTACTTTACTTTGGTTTAGAGATTGTGTGTTAAGAATTTGTACACCATACATTTGTATCCCTTCTTCTCTTATACCAAGTTTACAAAAAAATTGTCTGTATTCTGAGAGAAATACATTTTATATTGGAAATGGTTGAGTTTGTTTAAAGAATCCTCAATTGCAGTATTTCAGTGAATTAAGATAATGTACATTATGTACATGTAGAAGAATTTGTTGAGTTTAACATCACTTGATAGAAATAAAACATATTTCTTATAATAGCCAACAAATTTTGCCATACAAATAAATGCAAAAAGAAACCTCACTTTAGCATATTTAGAGGTAGGAACAATGTTCACAGGACAAATATAAAATCTAGTATACCCTACTCTATTGTTTGAAAAAAATGGACTGTTCCAAATAAGTTTCCAGTCATAACTACCTTTTATCACTTTGATTCTATGAACCCCCTTGGGTAGCATAGCATAGCTAAATGATTCATTTTGTTTCTTACAGAATATGAGTTAGGAGATTTGCTTTGGTCTAAACTTGAGGGCTATCCATGGTGGCCAAGCCTGGTTTGTAACCATCCAACAGAGAACACGCATGTCAAAGGAGGAAAAAATGCTCAAGTGCATGTACAGTTTTTTGATGACCCTGTGTCAAGGTCCTGGGTGAAGGTTAAGTAAGTTCTTATGGCATAATTAATCAGGTGAAACAGAGTCAAGTACTGAAGATGAATATTGAACAAAGGAGTAGGCCCGGTAAAACCTCTTTTTAGCCCCAAAATATAGCATTTTAAGAATTTGTTGAAATTTTAACTTTTATCTCTTTGAAGTAAAATACTTTTGTTCCATAAATATGGACTGTTTTGACCATACAATGTACATGCATCAGGTAATAGCATCGTAAATTCATGCGAAATTGTTCCCAATTGTAGCATTTGTGCTAATTTTAAGACAGTTTTTGTCTAAAATGGAAGTGGCTGCATTTGTGTTTTGTCTTAATATTTAAATATATATTGTATTTGATGATAATACATAACACTATATAAAGGTTGAGACTGAGCACAAATGCGACCACTTCCATTTTAGACAAAAAACGTCTAAAAAGTGACGTTTTATTGCATATTTGATAGGTTTTTCATATTTCAGCTTAAATTTGAGCGCCTTTAGTGACCAAATGAGTTCAAATCTTTTACACAAACTAATACAATCGACTGAAGTAGACACTTAAGTGTTTAAAAAATGTCAAAAATCTTTCATCAGATGTACTTCTAGTTTTAGGCCAAAACTAGCCCTTCCTGGACTTTCTCCTTTAGTTGTTATAGACATACAGTACTACCTGTGACATAATCTTATTAATGGTGGCCATAAAAAATATGGTCACCATGATGGCCCTAAATGTCCATCATTATACCCCCTGCTGCTTAATACACAAGGTATTAATCAAAAACTAGTCAAGGATAAAGAGAAATCATGACTGCATTGAAGTGTTAAAATTACATAACTTACAGGTAAAGTGTCTCAGGGAAAATATATGACTTTTTGTGTTTGTCAAATTTAATAACTGTGATTATGACAAGAAAATTCTAAAATAAAATGAAATAATAAAACTAGTTGAACATATAGCTTCCTAACTTTTTTTTTGTAAAAATTTTCTCATGACTATTTGCAAATGTTTGTTTTGATGTTATAACTTTTAAATAATTCTATCAATTTAAGTTATTTTTTACATGTTTTTTTTTGGCAAGTGAATAATAAATGAATATCATCTTCTAATATAATGCAAACTTTCACAATGCCTGCCTTTTCTCATTGAAAAGGTGTTTCTCAAATTAATTTTCTAAAATCAAAATTGTTTATACTTACTGCATTTAACATTGTTTAACAAATGTTTAAGATTATCTTTAGGACTTATTCTAAATAAAATTTAGGCAATTCATTATTTCTCTATTGAATAAATACATGTATATTCAAAATGTTCATTACATATTACAATTTAATCAAGTTTCTGACAAAAAAAAACCAAAACAAACATTATAATGCAAAGAAATAACAATTCTATAAGAAATCAAAACACATGGAAAAAAATTATTAGGTTTCTGCCCTCAGTTCTAATGACTTTCTTTTATAAAGGAGCCAATATTTTAAACATGTTCCATGTTATAGAGCATGTAGAGGTTTAGCATTTCTTTTACTTTTTGTTCTTGGTTAAGATTTTATTCATAAGATTCAAGATTTTATTCATAAACTGGTCAGAGACATTATTATGAGAATGTAAACAATTTTCAAATAGATTGTTTCTAAGTTGTTATGTTAATTTTACAAACAATTCTATCCTTTATAGGAATTTTTATTCACCATTTTCTATTTCTAAATTATGATCACTAATTCTTTACTTAGTGAAGCATTTGAGTTTACTGTTTTCATTATAAGTTTTTATTTTATTTTCAAAAATATTCTTATTTTTTTTCTTAAAATTTATTTTTAATCAAGGGCTTTAAAGAATCTAATTCGTTCAAGTCCCCACAATTATCAACTTTATCTAAAAGGCCTAAGTTGAGTGAAATATTCTTTGCAAATGTATACCAAGAATATGTATGATGCATATGCCAGTCCTGCAGTTTCGACGATATAATACACAACAAAAAGTGATTATAAGTTATAATTAATAATAATTCATTTAATAATGCAAACGAACAATAGAATACCATGTACATCATGTACAATAACTTTTTTTTTAACTGAAAAAATAATTATTTAAAGGATTCTCTCTTGCTTTCAAATGCTAGTCAATAACTTATCTTTGATTTTTTGTCATTTCTACTCAAGATTCTTTCCAAGAAGAAATTAAAAAAATAAGAATAAAAAAAAACAAATAAAAAATAATAATAACATAAAAAAATAAAAACATTAGAAAAAAAGGAAAATAAGTAAATTTAAAGACAGAAAAATCAACAAATGATATGAATTAACAAAGACTAAAACAAAAATTCTATTCTACATTTTCAAGAAAAGGTGAAATGTCAATTTGAGAAGAAACCTGAGTTACCTGTACAGGTAAATTTTAATGAAACATACAAGCTGAAAACTTCAACCCTGATTGATTTCAACAGGTAACATAATTAGATAAAACATCAACCTATGTTTTATGACCCTAATAAATGGCCAACATCTCAAGATTGAATACCCCAATAAATGGCCACCATTCGATGGTGACCATACAAGAGGGTGGACATAACTAAGAGGAAGTCACAGGTTGTACTGTAGGTAGTTGTCTCATGGGCAATTATACCACATCTCCTTATGTTATAATGGTTGGGATCAACAACATGTTATCAGCATGTAATTTGTGATTCCTGGGTTTTTTTTGAAGAATAAAGGGGTCAAAGTTGAAATTTGTTTACAATCATTCTGCTCAATTCTCTCATGACAAGGCAGATGCATAGAAAAATGTCTGTGATATAACTTTTACATCCTCCTCATTGAAATAGCCACTGTCCCATATGTATCAAACTAATTCATAACAGATACCAGAATTAAAAATTTGTACACCATACGCAAATTTCGTCTACAAAAAGACTCATCAGTGGCGCTTGAATCAAAAATGTTAAAAAGGGCAAATAAAGTACAAAGTTGAAGAGCATTGAGGACCCAAAATTGTGAAACTGAGAGCTGTTCCTGAAAAATTTAATGGACTATCTTTAATGACAAATTTTGGAAGCCCCTGGTTACCCTAACCAACCATAGAATTACTCATTATATATACTGATATACTCAATGCTAAAAATGTTCGAAAACTGACCACCTTTTGAAACTTATGTAGAAGTGACTCTGATAATTTTTTCATTAGAAAAATAAAATGTCTGTGGTACAAAATTTTTAGCCTGGTATCTATAATGAGTTTAATTAATACAATTTTGTTCTTTGTCTTTTTAGAAATGTTCGTTCATACATAGGATCAGATGACAAGGAATGCCAAAAGGGGGGAACTTTCTTTTCCATGAACATGTTGGTAAGAAAGGCTGGAGACGAGGCAGACAAAGCAATGAAAATGAATGTGGAAGATCGTCTAAAACTAGTTGTGAATTTATTACCATCAGATAATGAGGACGATGAGATGGATTTTGATCGTAAGTTGCCTAAAGATTTAATAATTGAAAATGTGTTTTGTTTGTTTGTTGGTTTTAAACGGCACTACAAGCACGTCCAGCGACCATATAAAGTTCATTGCGACCAGTATTTATTGGTGGAGGCAGCAGAAGTACCAAGAGAGAACAACCAACCTTTTGCAAAAAAAACTGGCTATTCCTGGTTTCAACTCACAACCTTGGAGTTGACAGGCTAGTAATCTGCTCGTCCCATTTTCGTTGCAAAGCTTGAGCGGGGGCATTCGTGTCCTCAGACACATTCTTCTTTTTTCTCTTAAGTGTGCAGATCATTAAGTGATGTTTGGTACATTATAATATTATGTTGACTTATTGATAAAGTGTTTTTCGTTCAGGTTGACAACCAATTGGTTGAATTATGGCCCTTCAATTTAATTGTCATGACTGTCAAATTTAAGGGTTTTGAAGACCCTTTAGACAAAACATAACTTAATATATATATAATATAACTTATGGATAACAATATTTTCATGTCTTTTATAAAGAACCAACCCTTTTTTTTCAGCGGACATATTTGATGCAGAAATGGAAGAAGGAGAATCTAACAACAGTAAAGAAAACAAAGATATAGAACAGTCTAAAGTAATTATTAGGGCTGTTCCAAAATAAATGCATGGGGGGCATAGGAGGCACTTTTTTAAGACCCGAACAAACCTAAGGCCAGGGTTTTTGTCGAGCCTATGATCCGGCGGCGACAGCGTTAACTAACTTCTTAAAAGCTTTATATTTTAGAAGGTGGAAGACCTGGATGCTTCATACTTTGTATATAGATGCCTTATGTTACGAAGTTTCTGTCTGTCACATGTCCATTGTCCTTGACCTCATTTTCATGGTTCAGTGACTGCTTATAAAAAAAAGTTAAGATTTTTTTGTAATGTTAATTTCTCTCTTATTATGAGTAATAGGATAACTATATTTGGTATGTGCATACCTTGCAAGGTCCTCATGCCCGTCAGACAGGCTTCACTTGACCTCAACCTCATTTCATGGATCAGTTAACAAGGTTAAGTTTTGGTGGTCAAGTCCATATCTCAGATACTGTAACCAATAGGTCTAGTATATTTGATGTATGGAAGGATTGTAAGGTGTACATGTCCAACTAGCTGGTGTCATCTGACCTTGACCTCATTTTCATGGTTCAGTGGTTATAGTTAAGTTTTTGTCTGTTTTTCTTATACTGTATGCAATAGGTCAACTATATTTGGTGTATGGAAATATTTTATGATGTACATGTCAGTCTCGCATGTTTTATTTGACCTTGACCTCATTTTCACGGTTCATTGCTCAGTGTTAAGTTTTTGTGTTTTGGTCTGTTTTTCTTAAACTGATAAGTAATAGGTCAACTATATTTGTTGTATGGAAGGATTGTAAGCTGTACATGTCTGCCTGGCATGGTTCATCTGACCTTGACCTCATTTTCATGGTTCAGTGGTTATAGTTAAGTTTTTGTGTTTTGGTCTGTTTTTCTTATACTGTATGCAATAGGTCTACTATATTTGGTGTATGGAATGATTGTAAGGTGTACATGTCTAGCTGGCAGGTGTCATCTGACCTTGAACTCATTTTCATGGTTTATTGGTCAATGTTTAGTTTTCTTGGTTAAGTCTGTTTCTTAGAAACTATAAGCAATAGGTCAACTATATTTAGTGTATTGAATGATTGTAAGGTGTACATGTATTTCTCGATTGGTTTATAAGACCTTGACCTCATTTTTTTGGATCATGTTAAGTTTATGTGATAGTTGTAGTAAAGCTTTACATTTAGGACTATCAACATAATATCAATGGTTAGTAAAGAAGGCGAGACATTTCAGCGTGTGCACTCTTGTTCAATTTGTTGGTTTACAGATCCGTCAACCCTATTTTCCCAATTTTCATTAAAAAATAAATTGACATTTCATGCCTTTTTATTCCCGCTGTCCCTCACAAATACATTTTCCCTAAAATATAAATAAAAGTATCTATGTAGCAACTTTTTCCTGATATTAAGTGGATTAATTTAGCATGTTAAATTATTTTCAAAAAGATTAAAAATCTAAAATTAATCCGAAGTGTGTTCCTTAAAATAAACAATCAAAATTGTCCTTAAAATGATGTTTATGCAAATATTTTTGCGGAACAAAAACCGATGTTCAAAGCCCATTGCAAGAAGTGTCTTTTAATTTTTATGCCCCCGCAGTAGCGGAGGGGGCATTAAGTTTTACCCTTGTCCCTCCGTACGTTTCAAAATTGGTTTCCGTTCTCTATCTTAAGTTTGCCTCAACCGAATGTTATGAAACTTATACACAATGCTTATTACCTCAAAACACAGATCAAGTTTGAACTTTGAAGGCGTCACTTGTACCGTTCTAGAGTTATGCCCCTTTACAAATGGAAGAATTGCTAAATTTTTCGTTTCTGTTCTCTAACATTAGTTTGCCTCAACCAAATGTTATGAAACTTATACACAATGCTTATTACCTTAAAGCACAAATCAGGTTTGAGCTTTGGTGGTGTCACCTTTACCGTTCTAGAGTTGTGCCCCTTTACAAATGGAAATATTGCTAAATTTTTCGTTTCCATTCTCTTACTTCAGTTTGCCTTTACCAAATGTTATGAAACTTATGCACAATGCTAACTACCACAAAACCCAGATCAAGTTGAGTTATGTCCCTTTATAAGATTATATGCAAGCGGGGGCATCATCTGTGTCCCATGGACACATTCCCCATTTATTTTTAGCTCACCTGACCTGAAAGGTCAAGTGAGCTTTTCTCATCACTTTGCGTCCGTCGTCCGTCGTCCTGCGTCCGTCGTCCGTCGTCCGTAAACTTTTACAAAAATCTTCTCCTCTGAAACTACTGGGCCAAATTTGACCAAACTTGGCCACAATCATCATTGGGGTATCTAGTTTAAAAAATGTGTCCCGTGACTCGGCCAACCAACCAAGATGGCCGCCATGGCTAAAAATAGAACATAGGGGTAAAATGTAGATTTTGGCATATATCTCTGAAACCAAAGCATTTAGAGCAAATCTGACATGGGGTAAAATTGTTAATCAGGTCAAGATCTATCTGCCCTGAAATTTTCAGATGAATCGGACAACCCGTTGTTGGGTTGCTGCCCCTGAATTGGTAATTTTAAGGAAATTTTGTCGTTTTTGGTTATTATCTTGAATATTATTATAGATAGAGATAAACTGTAAACAGCAATAATGTTCAGCAAAGTAAGATCTACAAATAAGTCAACATGACCAAAATGGTCAGTTGACCCCTTAAGGAGTTATTGCCCTTTATAGTCAATTTTTAACCATTTTTCGTAAATTTTTGTAATCTTTTACAAAAATCTTCTCCTCTGAAACTACTAAGACAAATTTAACCAAACTTGTCCACAATCATCATTAGAGTATCTAGTTTAAAAAATGTGTCCGATGACCCTGCCCGCGAACCAAGATGGCCGACATGGCTAAAAAATAGTACATAGGGTAAAATGCAGTTTTTGGCTCATATCTCTGAAACCAAAGCATTTAGAGCAAATCTGACATGGGGTAAAATTGTTAATCAGGTCAAGATCTATCTGCCCTGAAATTTTCAGACCAATCAGGCAACCCGTTGTTGGGTTGCTGCCCCTGAATTGGTAATTTTAAGGAAATTTTGCCGTTTTTGGTTATTAGCTTGAATATTATTATAGATAGAGATAAACTGTAAACAGCAATAATGTTCAGCAGAGTAAGATCTACAAATAAGTCAACATGACCAAAATGGTCAGTTGACCCCTTAAGGAGTTATTGCCCTTTATAGTCAATTTTTAACCATTTTTCGTAAATTTTTGTAATCTTTTACAAAAATCTTCTCCTCTGAAACTACTAAGACAAATTTAACCAAACTTGTCCACAATCATCATTAGGGTATTTAGTTTAAAAAATGTGTCCAATGACCCCGCCCGCGAACCAAGATGGCCGACATGGCTAAAAAATAGTACATAGGGTAAAATGCAGTTTTTGGCTCTATCTCTGAAACCAAAGCATTTAGAGCAAATCTGATGAGGATAAAATTATTCATTAGGTCAAGATCTATCTGCCCTGAAATTTTCAGACCAATCAGGCAACCAGTTGTTGGGTTGCTGCCCCTGAATTGGTAATTTTAAGGAAATTTTGCCGTTTTTGGTTATTATCTTAAATATTATTATAGATAGAGATAAACTGTAAACAGCAATAATGTTCAGCAAAGTAAGATCTACAAATAAGTCAACATGACCAAAATGGTCAGTTGACCCCTTAAGGAGTTATTGCCCTTTATAGTCAATTTTTAACCATTTTTCGTAAATTTTTGTAATTTTTTACAAAAATCTTCTCCTCTGAAACTACTAAGACAAATTTAACCAAACTTGTCCACAATCATCATTAGGGTATCTAGTTTAAAAAATGTGTCCGATGACCCCGCTCGCGAACCAAGATGGCCGACATGGCTAAAAAATAGTACATAGGGTAAAATGCTGTTTTTGGCTCATATCTCTGAAACCAAAGCATTTAGAGCAAATCTGATGAGGATAAAATTGTTCATTAGGTCAAGATCTATCTGCCCTGAAATTTTCAGACCAATCAGGCAACCCGTTGTTGGGTTGCTGCCCCTGAATTGGTAATTTTAAGAAAATTTTGCAGCTTTTGGTTATTATCTTGAATATTATTATAGATAGAGATAAACTGTAAACAGCAATAATGTACAGCAAAGTTAGATCTACAAATAAGGCAACATGACCAAAATTGTCAATTGACCCCTTAAGGAGTTATTGCCCTTTATAGTCAATTTTTTACAATTTTCATAAATTTTGTAAATTTTTGTAAATTTTTACAAAGTATTTTCCACTGTAATTACCGGGCCAAGTTCATTATAGATAGAGATAGTAGTAAGGAGCAAGAATGTTCAGTAAAGTAAGATCTACAAACACATCACCATCACCAAAACACAATTTTGTCATGAATCCATCTGTGTCCTTTGTTTAATATGCACATAGACCAAGGTGAGCGACACAGGCTCTTTAGAGCCTCTAGTTTTCTTTTTTTCCTTTTTTTTTTCTTTTAAAATTTTCCATTTTAAGTTGGTTATTTCTGATTTATATTTAAAAGCAAATAATAATGATATGGTAGGAGATACACACCAAACAGGATGTGTAAATTATTATATAATAAGTATTGTGCAATAGCAAGAAATTTTCAATTGCACAATAGCAAGAAATCTTCAATTGCACAGTATTGCGCAATAGCAAGAAATCTTCAATTGCACAGTATTGCGCAATAGCAAGAAATATCCAATAGCACAATATTGCACAATAGCAAGAAATTGTCAATTGTACAGTATTGCGCAATAGCAAGAAATATTTAATTGCACAGTATTGTGCAAAAGAAGATACTTCGTATAAATTGCTTATTTCTTGACCAATTTCAATGGGGTTTTATTCTTGAATTCTTGGGGTTCTTTAATATGCTGAATCTAACCGTGTATTTAGTTTTTGGATTTTGGGCCCGTTTTTAAATTGGTCCACATTGAGGTCCAAAGGGTCCAAAATTAAACTTTGTTTGATTTCATCAAAAATTGAATTATTGGGGTTCTTTGATGTGCCGAATCTAACCGTGTTTTTAGATTCTTAATTTTTGGTTCCGTTTTCAAATTGGTCTACATTAAGGTCCAAAGGATCCAAAATTAAACTTAGTTTGATTTTAACAAAAATTGAATTCTTAGGATTCTTTGATATGCTGAATCTAAACATGTATTTAGATTTTTTATTATGGGCCCAGTTTTCAAGTTTGTCCAAATTGGGGTCCAAAATTAAACTTTGTTTGATTTCAACAAAAATTGAAGATATGGGGTTCTTTAATATGCTGAATCTAACCGTGTATTTAGTTTTTGGATTTTGGGCCCTGTTTTTAAATTGGTCCACATTGAGGTCAAAAGGGTCCAAAATTAAACTTTGTTTGATTTCATCAAAAATTGAATTCTTGGGGTTCTTTGATATGCTGAATCTAACCATGTATTTAGATTTTGGATATTGGACCATTATAGGTGAATGTCCAATTTAAAATTTTTAAGTTCTTAGACCACATTCATTCTGTGTTAGAAACCTATGCTGTGTCAAATATTTAATCACAATCCAAATGCAAAGCTGTATCAAGCTTGAATGTTGTGTCCATACTTTCCCCAACTGTTCAGGGTTCGACCTCTGCGGTCGTATCAAGCTGCGCCCTGCGGAGCATTTTATTTGTTATTATTTTGAATATTATTATAGATATATGTAAAATTGTTTAATTGGTCAAGATCTATCGGCCCTGAAATTTTCAGACGAATCTAACAACCCATTGTTGGGTTGCTGCCACCAAATTGGTAGTTTTAACAAAATTTTGCAGTTTTTTTGTTATTATTTTGAATATTATTATAGATATATATAAACTGTAAGCAGCAATAATGTTCAGCAAAGTAAGATCTACAAAAAAGTTTATATGACCATAATTGTCAATTGACCCCTTAAGGAGTTATTGCCCTTTAAAAACAATTTTACACAATTTGTTCATCAAGTTTGCTAACATTTAAAAATCTACTGCTCTGAAATACAGGTGAGCGATTCAGGCTCTTGAGAGCCTCTTGTTTTTAATTCCAATAGTTTTTCGACCGTCCGACCTGACTTGTTCACATAAAAAAATCTGTAAACCAACAAATTAAAAAATCCTGGCCTTAAAACCAAAATTGTCCATTTACTTACAATTCTTAATTCTAAGGAAAATGCAACCATCAATATTTGATTAATATGATTGCCTCCCTTTCTCCCACCCGATAAATGTTTTGACAGTTCTTAGTTGATATTATGGGAAAACAATCTACCACAATTTAAATTTATCAATATCACAATATTTTTCATTATGCCCAATCTATGATAGTATGGTGCAATATGTTTTCTGGTCCATGTCCATTGTTTTTTTTGTCCATCACATGAGATTGATGTAAATCTCAATTCACCCGAAAATGATATGTGAGCAAGTCATGGTGACCTTTGTTCATTTTATTTTTCAAATTTTAAATCCGATTTCTATTCTGTTTTCATTTCAGAGGTCTTTTCTTTAAATGCACTTTTGACAAGCAACCAATTAAATATTATGGTGTCACAGGAACTAAATTATAAGACAATAATAAAACCAAAATTACTTAATGGCATACTGTTCAGTAGATGTAATGTGTCAGCTCTGACTTTGTGATGAAAGTGGATTTACACATAATAGTTGTAAGTGAATTGAGAAAAAAATATATATTTTAATTAAAATTTTAGTTGATTATTCTTTATTCTTCATGCCATCTTTCTTCACCATTTATAAAATTTTAATAGAAGTGCCTTCTGACCCCCCACCCTCTTCATTCACTCTTTCAGCACTATGACCCGGTTTACCGAGAAATCAATTTTACTTCCGTAAACACTATAACCAGCTATACCGGGCTGCACATGCTACTTTTTTTAATTCGAGATTTCCATTGGTCAGTCGTAAGAAAATCCCTCTAAAGTAAAATACTAGCATCATATACATTCATTCGAGTTCTTTGGCTTTTTCCGTACTTTTAACGGAAAATAAAGTAAATATTGGTCTGTCATTATATAAATTTTTGGAAATTTTGTACACAAAATGGCGGATAGCGATATTGATAACGAATGGTCAGGAGACGAAATTATTGATTATGTTGGCCAATTTGACTTAATAAATGTTAATCAAGCTGAAAAAAGTGAATTAGAAAGGCAATGGAGAAATATAGTAGGGGACAGTGATGATGAAGATGACTTTGAGGGGTTTGAAGCCGCGGACATGTTGACAAAAATTTTGACACATGGAAACTCAAAGAAACATTTGTGAATTTAGGGAACAGATTGGCCCAGTTAGAAATTTTGACACTTCAGCATCTGCCCTGAACTATTTTCAATGTTTTTATACTGAAGAAGTTGTCACTTCTATTGTCAACTTAACTAATTTGAACGCAACCCGAAAATCATACATGAAAGTTTACACATTTACCTGTGCTAATGAAGTACAAATACTTTGTCAATTGAGACAATATCACTTTTTTTTTTTTTTTAATAATCATAAACTATCAAATCAATATAAACTCAAACAAAATAAAAGTGATGTCATAGTTAAAATTACCTGATTTACCTGTATTTTTACCTGTATCTCACCTGTATGTCACCATAAGTGACAATAAGACAACAGGTACAGCAAGTACAAAGTATGCTGATTATTTTGATACCTCATATGATGGAATTGGATGACTTGAGTACAAATATACATCAGTTTAAAAGTACCTACCCTAAATAAATGAAAATTCTCAAAGTTACTTAGTGTTGAAGGGTATAATACATTGAAAGTTATGCAGTGTTGAAAGAGTTAACAAGTAGTTCTGGAATAACCCTGGCTAAAAAAGGATTGGCTTTTAAATATTGCTTCATTCTTTCATCTGATTACAGACTACACCTAAGAAAACGCCAAAGAAATCTCCACGCAAAGGCAGACGGTCTGCTAGACAACCAAAACTTAAAAGACGAAGGATAATAGAAAGTAAAAATAGTTCTGATGAAGATTCAGGTGGGTGAAGTAAAATTAGGGATGATTGGAGAAACTCTGAATGATTAAAATTGAGAAGAATGAAAAATAGTAATATAAAAAGAAGGAATTGTGGTTAAATTGTTATTGAGACAACTGACTACCAGAGACCAAAGGACATGGATGATAACAATTATAGATCACTGTATGTCCAACATGAATGGAATGTCTGGATTGGTTGAGATCAAAAATGAATAATGGTCAAGTTTGGATTGATTGAAATTTTACATTTATAATTGCAAAGTTTAGATTGCTTTAGATTTAATATTGATAATTATTCAGTTTGAATTGGTTGAAATTGAGAATGAATAATTGTCAAGTTTGGATTGGTTGAGATTGAAAATTAATAACTGTCAAGTTTGGATTAGTTGAAATTTACCATTAATAATTGCCAAGTTTGGATTGGTTGAGATTGAAAATGAATAATTGTCAAGTTTGGATTAGTTGAAATTTACCATTAATAATTGCAAAGTTTGGATTGGTTGCATGAGATTGAAAATGAATAATTGTCAAGTTTGGATTAGTTGAAATTTACCATTAATAATTGCAAAGTTTGGATTGGTTGAGATTGAAAATGAATAATTGTCAAGTTTAGATTGGTTGACATTGAGAATAAATAATACAAAGTTTTAATTGGTTTCATTTATTCTGAAGAAACATGGAAAATTTAGATTGCTTTAAATTGAAAAGAATGAATACAGATGTTTTGAGTAACAAATTAAGTAGGCAACAGTCGAATCATCAAATTGTCTTAACTTGATATTTTGAAGCTTCTTATACATTAATGTAGAAGTAAACCAATTTTTAAGACGTTTCGGCCACTGACCTTCTTCAGTTTCTTTATTTTCCTTCGTATCTACATGGTAGACATTCTTATACAGTTAAAAGTCATGATAAAACTGGTTGATTCACATATTCTGAACTAATTTAATCAAATTGGCACTGTTTATCACTTTCTAAAAAAAAAAAAACAGTACAAGATTATTTTTAACTTAAAAAGATATAATGCTACCTACATCTCCAAAAATGTTTTTGCAGAATTTTGAAAAATAAGAACATATTTATGCCCCCACCGTAGCGGTGGGGGCATTAAGTTTTACCCTTGTCCGTCTGTACGTACGTACGTCCGTCCGTCCGTACGTCCGTCCGTCCGTACGTCCCGAAATTGGTTTCTGTTCTCTAACTTGAGTTTGCCTCAACCAAATGTTATGAAATTATACACAATGCTTATTACCACAAAAGACAGATCAAGTTTGAATTATGTGGCGTCACTTTAATTGTTCTAGAGTTATGCCCCTTTATGAACGGAAAAATTGCATAATTTTTAGTTTCTGTTCTCTAACTTAAGTACCCCCAAGGGTGACTGGGGAATAGAAGTATGGTCACCATTGGTCTTCCTCCGACTGGCAGTAAAACCCTTGCTAAAGTGGGGCGTCCGTTAGGCTGTGCGGGATGTACAAATTTGCAGCCACGTCCGGTCAGAATGGGGACGTTAAATCCGATGCCTCGTGTAAAGAGAGTGCCACATTCTTTGCACGTTAAGAACCCTTGCAACAACTCTTTGAGGGGTCCGTAGGTGACCTGTTGCAAGGCTAAATTTCTGTGCCTATCCAATATACCCTCATTTCCCGTGGCAGTCTAAATTTCTCGGACCTTAATCCCGGACGTCCCTATTACAGAACCTACCTATTGTATTTATTGTTAATTTGTTCTCGTCCTGAATATGCATGAAATATTTGCCACTGGACGTTAAGCAATCAACAATCAATCAATCAATCTAACTTAAGTTTGCCTCAACCAAATGTTATGAAACTTATACACAATGCTTCTTACCACAAAACACAGATCAAGATTGAATTTTGGTGGCGCCACTTTAACCGTTCTAGAGTTATGCCCCTTTATAAATGGAAAAATTGCAAAATTTTTATTTTCTTTTGAATATCAAGTATTTTTAGCTCACCTGGCCCAAAGGGCCAAGTGAGCTTTTCTCATCACTTGGTGTCCGTCGTCCGTCGGCGTTGTCGTCGTCATTAGCTTTTTACAAAAATCTTCTCCTCTGAAACCACTAGGCCAAATTTAACCAAACTTTGTCACAATCATCATTAGGGTATCTAGTTTAAAAAATGTGTCGGATGACCCCGCCAACCAACCAAGATGGCCGCCATGGCTAAAAATAGAACATAGGGGTAAAATGTAGATTTTGGCTGATATCTCTGAAACCAAAGCATTTAGAGTAAATCTGACTAGGGTAAAACTGATTATCAGGTCAAGATCTATCTGCCCTGAAATTTTCAGAAAAATCTGACAACCAGTTGTTGGGTTGCTGCCCCTGAATTGGTAATTTTTAGGAAATTTTCTGTTTTTGGTTATTATCTTGAATATTATTATAGATAGAGATAAACTGTAAACAGCAATAATGTTCAGCAAAGTAAGATCTACAAATAAGTTGTCATGACCAAAATTGTCAGTCGACCCCTTTAGGAATTATTGCCCTTAATAGTCAATTTTTAACAATTTTTCGTAAATTTTTGTTATCTTTTACAAAAATCTTCTTCTCTGAAACTACTGAGACAAATTTAACCATACTTGGCCATAATCATTATTAGGGTATCTTGTTTTAAAAATGTGTCCGATGACCCTGCCTTCCAACCATCATGGCCAACTTGGTTAAAAATAGAACATAGGGGTAAAATGCAGTTTTTGGTTTATATCTCTGAAACTAAAGCATTTAGAGCAAATCAGACAGGTGGCAAAAATGTTCATCAGATTTAGATTTCTGCCCTGAAATTTCCAGACGAATCCAACAACCTGTTGTTGGGTTGCTGCCCCTGAGTTAGTAATTTTACAAAAATTTTGCAGTTTTTTATTATTATCTTAGATATCATTATAATATCTAATATCTAATACTATTAATTATGATTTTAACCTTATTTTACATGATTTCCAAAGCATCAGTAAATACAGGTGAGCGACACAGGCTCTTGAGAGCCTCTAGTTTAAAATTGGAGTTATCTTCCTTTGTCCATGATTATAGTTGAATCTACTACAATCAATGCTTTATACAATGCAATGTTTAATTTTGACTTCCACTGATAAAGCACAGATCGAGTTGAATTTGGGTAGTGTCACTTTAACCATTATTGAGTTATTCCTCTTTATAAATGGAAAGATTGCAAAATTTTTAGTTTCCATTCTGTAACTTAAGTTTGCACCAAACATTATGAAACCTATGCACAATATTCATTACCACAAAACTAAGATCAAGTACAAATTTTTTGTTTCCGTTTTCTAACTTTAGTTTGCCTCAACCAAATGTTATGAAACTTATACACAATGCTTATTACTACATAATACAGATTAAGTATGAAATTTGGTGGTGACACTTTTACCATTCTTGAGTTATGTCCCTTTATAAACATAAAAATTGCAGAATTTTTTAGTTTGTCTCAACCAAATGTTATAAAACTTCTACAAAACTGTTCTAGAGTTATGCGTGTTTACAAATAGAAAAATTGCCGAATTTTTAGTTTCTGTTCTCTACTTAAGTTAGCCTCAACCAAATGTTATGAGACTTACACACAATGCTTATTACCACAAAACTCAGATCAAGTTCAAATTTGGATAGCATCACTTTTACTGTTCTTCAGTTATGTCCCTTTTTAATTATATGATATGCAAGCGGGGGCATCATCTGTGTCCACATTTTTAGCTCACCTGGTCCAAAGGGCCAAGTGAGCTTTTCTCATCACTTGGCATCCGTCGTCGTTAACTTTTACAAAAATCTCCTCCTCTGAAACTACTTGGCCAAATTAAACCAAACTTGGCCACAATCATCATTGGGGTATCTAGTTTAAAAATGTGTCCAGTGACCCGGCCAACCAACCAAGATGGCCGCCATGGCTAAAAATAGAACATAGGGGTAAAATGTAGATTTTGGCTTATATCTCTGAAACCAAAGCATTTAGAGCAAATCTGACATGGGGTGAAATTGTTTATCAGGTCAAGATCTATCTGCCCTGAAATTTTCAGATGAATCTGACAACCTGTTGTTGGGTTGCTGCCTCTGAATTGGTAATTTTAAGGAAATTTTGCCGTTTTTGGTTATTATCTTGAATATTATTATAGATAGAGATAATCTGTAAACAGCAATAATGTTCAGCAAGATAAGATCTACAATTAAGTCAACTTGACCAAAATGGTCAGTTGACCCCTTAAGGAGTTATTGCCCTTTATAGTCAATTTTTAACCATTTTTCGTAAATTTTTGTAATCTTTTCCTCTGAAACTACTAAGACAAATTAAACCAAACTTGGCCACAATCATCATTGGGGTATCTAGTTTAAAAATTGTGTCCGGTGACCCAGCAACCAACCAAGATGGCCGCCATGGCTAAAAATAGAACATAGGGGTAAAATGTAGATTTTGGCTTATATCTCTGAAACCAAAGCATTTAGAGCAAATCTGACATGGGGTGAAATTGTTTATCAGGTCAAGATCTATCTGCCCTGAAATTTTCAGATGAATCTGACAACCCATTGTTGGGTTGCTGCCCCTGAATTGGTAATTTTAAGGTAATTTTGCCGTTTTTGGTTATTATCTTGAATATTATTATAGATAGAGATAAACTGTAAACAGCAATAAAGTACAGGAAAGTAAGATCTACAAATAAGTCAACATGACCAAAATTGTCAATTGACCCCTTAAGGAGTTATTGCCTTTCATAGTAAATTTTTTACAATTTTCATAAATTTTGTAAATTTTTGTAAATTTTTACAAAATATTTTCCACTGTAACTACTGGGCCAAGTTCATTATAGATAGAGATAATTGTAAGCAGCAAGAATGTTCAGTAAAGTAAGATCTACAAACACATCATCATCACCAAAACACAATTTTGTCATGAATCCATCTGTGTCCTTTGTTTAATATGCACATATACCAAGGTGAGCGACACAGGCTCTTTAGAGCCTCTAGTTTATGGTTTGGTTTTTTAACTTTTTACAGGAGATGAGTTTAAACCAGGTTCAGACAGTAGTGGTGAAGAAGATGACAGCAGTGGTGTCGATGAAAATGATGTATCTGATATTGACCACGAATCGGAAATAGATTCTCCTGTCAAGGTCTGTCCCTCTATATCCACACTAATACCATTCAGAAGTTTTTAAACATTGCCATTTGTGAAAATATATTAGTTTTATAATTTTTGATGATTCCTTGCAGTAAGTAATTATGAGTCCCCTACTGACGAAGTCGATTGGGACTTTAGGTTTGCACTCCGTCTGTCTGTCTGTCTGTCCGTCTGTCTGTCCGTCTGTCTATCCGTCAGTCTAGCAAATCAGTTTTCCACACTTTTTCTTCGTTCTTGAAGATATTGATTTGGTATTTGGTATATAGTTTCATCATGACAAGTTACATATCAAGTTAGAATTTTGTTCCTATACAATGAATTTTTAACCGGTAGGGGACTATGTATTGCCATGCAATACTATCAGAATGCTTGTTCATATTTATTATGAATGAAACCAAATGCAGAGTATATCTTTTAATGAGACCGCAAACCAACATTTGGTTTAATGAATTGTACTTATAGAAGTTTTTTTATGCCCCACCTAGGGGCATTATGTTTTTTCGGTCTGTGCGTCTGTCCGTTTGTCCGTCTGTCCCGCTTCAGGTAAAAGTTTTTGGTCATGGTAGTTTTTGATGAAGTTGAAGTCCAATCAACTTGAAACATAATACACATGTTCCCTATGATATGATCTTTCTAATTCAAATGCCAAATTAGAGTTTTGACCCCAATTTCACGGTCTACTGAGCATAGAAAATGATGGTGCGAGTGGGGCATCCGTGTACTATGGACACATTCTTGTTTTTAAAGTGTCCATTTCTTTCAGAATGAAAACAGGAAACGTAAGCGTCCTCCACCTAAACAAAAGATCAGTGATACTCCTTCAAGCTTAACTCCATCTGCCAATAGAAATTCATTTACGCCAAGTGTTGGAGACAAAACCAAGTCAAGGCTATCAATGTTTTCTGCCAGTGATTCGGTAAGTATAGTTAAATGAAACAGATGCTATTTTACTACCAAAACTTTGTATGCATGCCTAAATCAAATCAATATTAGCCTACTTTTCATCTTTTGAAACTCTGTGAGTATGGCTTTACCAAGTCAAACACAACCTATTAACTGAAAGGGACTTTCTGGATATGGCTAAACCATGTCAAGACTTAACCTAGTCATAGGAAGAAAAAGAATCTTTATGCATGTAATGATTGTACTTTCTTTGTAGGTATTGGTCCAATGGTCAGACTTATATAATACAGGCTTACGTTTGTTATTCATCATGTTCATTGAATTAAACTGTATGAGTTATAAACTTTATTGTTACAGGGTCTGATTGTTACTGGATCTTATATATATATTAAATTATTTCATGGTCCAGGTAAATCTGTATCATATACATTACATTGTTTCAGGGTCCAGATAAATCTGTATCATATACATTAAATTGTTTCAGGGTCCGAGTGTTACTGGATCATCAGAACAAGAAGCCAACTTTCCACATGTAAAATTACCTTTCTTACAACCAGGCAAAATTTTGTAAGTAAAACTGTAAAACATTACTTTCTATATTCTCATAATTTAATGACAAACATTCTTTCTTGGCAAATTATAAGACACTCTTTTAAAAAACTAGTTTAAAGTATTTAAAGTAATACACGATTGAATGAATAACCCAATAATTGATGTCAGACTTCTGGAAACATGCTTGACTAAGAACAAATCCAACAATGAGGTCAGACAAACATTGGCCATTCACCAGTCTAAATTTCTGTTAAACAAAAATAGCTCAATCCAGTTTTTGTGCCAAGGTTTCAGTTGCATATTTATTTCCTTTCCTCTCTTTAGAATTACTGTTATAGTCTTTTAAACTTATATTTTTATTATGTATAAAACAGTATTTTTTGCCATGATTATAGCAGCTAATGGTTATTACTTGAGTTTTGATTGAAATGGAATTTTTGTACAATAACTTATGTATAGTCAAACATATATTATGATTTCTTCATCAGTGCCTTCTTCAACAATTCTTGAAAATAAATGAATGTCCAGTGGAAAACCCTGGAATTTCCATTGCAAAATGAATGGAAACATAAATATAAACATAAATATAAGAACACGTTATCTTTTATTTTGCTTAACACCTACTGTATAATTCAATCTCATTGAAATACAAATTCTGTGTCCTTGCTTTGCTTACAAGGATCTGTTTGGGTAATTATTTCATCAGCCAATGAAATTTCAGCCTTCAAATATTTGAAGGTGTGTATTATCAGGACAAAACCAGAGAATCCCAAAAGGTTTTCAAAACAGAAAGTAGAACAGAGTGTTGTCAGATCTATTTAAAGTGTGAACACAGAATCAGTATTTCAATCACATTGAATTATGATCGTGACTGATTTGAAGATATTTGAATTATTGTTGTCTAACTAAACTCTTGTATCTTATGTACAGAGACATTAAGGGTCACCCAGAATCTGACCCAGATTATGATCCTAGAACAGTTTCTATACCAGATACTTTTCTGAAACAACAAACACCAGTAAGTACTATTTCACTCATTAATAAATTCTAACATTACATTTTTTTGAAAAATAGAGAATCATAGGTCATCAGGTCATCAGTAGCATGCTGTGGATTAATTGTTATTCTTGGGATACCAATTTTTTGTGGATCTAGTGGGGATAGGTAAACCACGAATTTAAATGTTTAGCAAAGTGCATATTTTCATAGACTTGTATAAAGACTTTGGCAAAACCATGATACTATATATCCACAAAAATATAAAATTTTCCTCAATCCACTGAAATTGTTATCCATGAAAAACTAATCTATAGTATGCAATTTTAACATGGTACAAATCATGTGGAGGATAAGTTTGAAAACTGCAAATGTTTAAAAGAACAATTCCTTTGCAAAGAAACATCTGTATGTATAGTAACAAACTTGTCAGAGACTCGGCATAACATGAAGCATTGATCACAAATCATTGTTGATTAAACAATGCAGTCATCATGTTAAAAATCGGTCACTAATTTTCACCACACACTTTAGACAAGGACCTAATGACCCTAGCTATCAAACATGCAGCCTTTTGTATAACAAAAATTTGAATTTCTTATATAGTTTGAAACCAATTTGAAATAGGGCAGTTCAAGAATTTAGTATGTTAAACATGTACTCAAAAGTTCAACAAAAACAACAATCACAAACCAGTCCAATTTTTATACGACCACAAAAAATTTTTGCAGTCGTATATTGGTATGGCGTTGGCGTTGTCGTCGTCGTCGTTGTCCGAAGACACATTGGTTTTCGCACTCCAACTTTAGTTTAAGTGAATGGATCTCTTTGAAATTTTACCATAAGGTTAAATACCACAAAAGGAAGGTTGGGATTGATTTTGGGGGTTATGGTACCAACAGTTAAGGAATTAGGGGCCAAAAAGGGGCCAAAAATAAGCATTTTCTAGTTTCCAGACAATAACTGTGGAACGGTGTATGGATCTCTCTGAAATTATACTACAAGTTTCCATACCACAAAGGGATGGTTAGGATTTGCTTTGGGGGGTTATGGCTCAAACCGTTTAGGAATTAGGGGCAAAAAAGGGGGAAAAACAAGGTTGTCCTGGTTAATGGACAAATACTTGTACAAAACATAATTTAAAGCAGTGTAAGGGAGATAAATCAAATACATCATTGAAATTACCTCCCTTACACTGCTTTTAAAATATGTATAAAGTAATGGTTAATGAACAATTAAAATAATTTAAATCAGTGTAAGGGAGGTAATCCAAATACAACGTTTTGGTTACTTCCCTTACACTGCTTTTAAATTATGTTTAAAGAAATGCATATTTATAAAGGAAGACCAGTAAAAATATCTGCAAATATTGCATCTTTTTTTTTTACAAAAAAATCCATATGAAAGATTTGACACTATATTTTAAATTCTATTATAAAATAGATTAAGTTAGCACTATGGTAAATTTAAATGGGTAATTATGGTTGCAAACTCCATTGGAAATTTGAATTGAGATTATGACCATATCTTGAGGGAAAGATTTTTGGGGGGGAAAAAAGGGGGAGGGGGTAAAAAGAAATTGTGGGGGGTCAATTTTTTCTCATTTCAGATTTCAGAAATTAAAAAGAATTATTCTTCAAATATTATTTTTTTTTCAAATTTCAAATATTGAAAATTTCAAGAAGTTATCTGTAATTGCACAGTATGGCGCATTAGATTTGTAAATTTGACCACATTTATTTATGTGTTATGCCGAATCTAACCGTGTATTTAGATTTTTAATTTTGGGTCCAGTTTTCAAATTGGTCTACATTAAGGTCCAAAGGGTCCAAAATTAAACTTTGTTTGATTTTAACAAAAATTAAATATATGGGGTTTTTTGATATGCTGAATCTAAACATGTATTTAAATTTTTGATTTTTGGCCCAGTTTTCAAGTTGGTCCAAATTGGGGTCCAAAATTAAACTTTGTTTGATTTCAACAAAAATTGAATACATGGGGTTCTTTGATATGCTGAATCTAACCTTGTATTTAGATTTTTTATTTGTGGGCCCCACTATCAAATTGGTTCATATTGAGGTTAAAAGGATCCAAAATTAAACTTTGTTTGATTTCATCAAAAATTGAATTATTGGGGTTCTTTGATATGCCAAATCTAACCGTGTATTTAGATTTTTAATTTTTGTGTCCCGTTTTTGTCGAGCCTGCGACTTTTGTCGCAGAAAGCTCGACATAGGGATAGCGATCCGGCGGCGGCGGCTACGGCGGCGGCGGCGGCGGCGGCGGCGTTAGCTAACTTCTTAAAAGCTTTATATTTTAGAAGATGGAAGACCTGGATGCTTCATACTTTGTATATGGATGCCTCATGTTAGGAAGTTTCCGTCAGTCACATGTCCAATGTCCTTGACCTCATTTTCATGGTTCAGTGACCACTTGAAAAAAAAGTTCAGATTTTTTGTAATGTTAAATTCTCTCTTATTATAAGTAATAGGATAACTATATTTGGTATGTGCGTACCTTGCAAGGTCCTCATGCCCGTCAGACAGTTTTCACTTGACCTCGACCTCATTTCATGGATCAGTGAACAAGGTTAAGTTTTCGTGGTCAAGTCCATATCTCAGATACTATAAGCAATAGGTCTAGTATATTCGGTGTATGGAAGGACTGTAAGGTGTACATGTCCAACTGGCAGGTGTCATCTGACCTTGACCTCATTTTCATGGTTCAGTGGTTATAGTTAAGTTTTTGTGTTTTGGTCTGTTTTTCTTATACTGTATGCAATAGGTCTACTATATTTGGTGTATGGAATGATTGTAAGGTGTACATGTCTAGCTGGCAGGTGTCATCTGACCTTGACCTCATTTTCATGGTTCAGTGGTCAAAGTTAAGTTTTTGAGGTTTGGTCTTTCTTTCTAATACTGCATGCAATAGGTCAGCTATATTTGGTGTATGGAATGATTGTAAGGTGTACATGTCTAGCTGGCAGGTGTCATCTTACCTTGACCTCATTTTCATGGTTCAGTGGTCAAAGTTAAGTTTTTGAGTTTTGGTCTTTTTTTCTAATACTATATGCAATAGTTCAACTATATTTGGTGTATGGAAATATTTTATGATCTATATGTCAGTTACGCAGGTTTTATTTGACCTTGACCTCATTTTCAATGTTCATTGCTCAGTGTTAAGTTTTTGTGTTTTCGTCTGTTTTTCTTAAACTATAAGCAATAGGTCAACTATATTTGTTGTATGGAAGAATTGTTAGCTGTACATGCCTGCCTAGCATGGTTCATCTGACCTTGACCTCATTTTCATGGTTCATTGGTCAATGTTTAGTTTACTTGGTTAATGTTAAGTTTATGTGACAGTTGTAATAAAGCTTTATATTTAGGACTATCAACATAATATCAATGATTAGTAAAGAAGGCGAGACATTTCAGCATGTGCACTCTTGTTTAAATTGGTCTACATTAAGGTCCAAAGGGTCCAAAATTAAACTTAGTTTGATTTTATCAAAAATGGAATTCTTGGGGTTCTTTGATATGCTGAATCTAAACATGGTGTTTAGATTTTTGATTATGGGCCCAGTTTGCAAGTTGGTCCAAGTTGGGGTCCAAAATTAAACTTTGTTTTATTTCAACAAAAATAGAATATATGGGGTTCTTTGATATGCTGAATCTAACCATGTATTCAGATTTTTTATTTGAGGGCCCGCTATCAATTTGGTTCATATTGAGGTCAAAAGGGTCCAAAATTAAACTTTGTTTCATTTCATCAAAAATTGAATTATTGGGGTTCTTTGATATTCCAAACCTAACCGTGTATTTATATTTTTAATTTTGGGTCCTGTTTTTTAAATTGGTCTACATTAAGGTCCAAAGGGTCCAAAATTAAACTTAGTTTGATTTTAACAAAAATTGAATTCTTGGGGTTCTTTGATATGCTGAATCTAAACATGTGTTTAGATTTTTGATTATGGGCCCAGTTTGCAAGTTTGTCCAAGTTGGGGTCCAAAATTAAACTTTGTTTGATTTCAACAAAAATTGAATATATGGGGTTCTTTGATATGCTGAATCTAACCATGTATTTTGATTTTGGACATTGGACCATAATAGGTAAATTAAAAAAATTCAAGTTCTTAGACCACATTCTTTCTGTGTCAGAAACCTATGCTATGTCAACTATTTAATCACAATCCAAATTCAGAGCTGTATCAAGCTTGAATGTTGTGTCCATACTTGCCCCAACTGTTCAGGGTTCGACCTCTGCGGTCGTATCAAGCTGCGCCCAGCGAAGCATTTTATTTTTACTACAGGGCCGTCAATTGCTTGTACAAAAAAACTTAAAAAGCCTACAACTGTTTTTATTTATTCACAGGGTATGAGACAGTGGTGGGAGATGAAATCTAAATATTATGATACCATTCTATTTTTTAAAGTAAGTATGTCTACAATAGTGGGGTTAAACTCTGAAAGAATTTATCTTAAAGTTTGAATGTTCCCAACTGCAACACAGAGAAGTGTCTGTCAGCCTTGTTTCACTTTAGCCAGTTCTATATAAAAATAAGAAGATGTGGTATGATTGCCAAATTGCAATGAGAAAAGGTTCCACCAGAGACCAAATGACATAGAAGTGAGCAACTTTGGATCACTGTATGGCCTTCAACAATGAACAAAACCCATACCACTTAGCAAGCTATAATGGGCCCCAGCATGACAAAACGTAAAAGAATCACTTTATGCTCAAATTATTTTTGCCAAAATTACTAACTGCTACCAGAATAAACAAGCAGAGCACTAATAACTGAAATCACAGGATGACTTTTGTCTCAAAATGAAAACAAAATGAAATAAAAGAAAAAAAGAAAAAGTATGAGGGTGCTGATGTAGCTAGATTTCTTACTCTGCTCATTTATAATCAGTCTCATATTGAGAAAGTACAAAACATTAAGAAAAATACTGAAAATTTATTGTAAAATCTTTTTTATTACAGATGGGTAAATTTTATGAATTGTTCCACATGGATGCTGTAGTTGGAGTTAATGAACTTGGAATAATATACATGAAGGTAAATACTATTAACTGTTTTAGTTTGTAAGCTTGCATTATCTTCACATGAAATATTCTATATTTTTATGTCCCAGTCAACAGTGGGGGCATTAAGTGTTACCCTTGTCCATCCTTACTTCTCAAAATTGGTTTCCGTTCTTTTAATATGAATTACGGAAATTCACACTGAATATGAATCGCATGTTAAAATAGCTTATGATTCCTGTTAAATTTTTTCTTCTGAAGTTTATATTATATGAACATTTGAAATTCATCAGTTAAATTAATGTTGATAGATTTTTAGAGAAATTCTATGTTGCGCAGACATTTATAAATGAAAATATAACATCGAAAGTTAGTTTTTTATTGTTGTTGAAAATTAGGTTTTAGTGTATTGGTTATTTTGGGGATAAAATTGACAAACAGTATATGTATTTTTATAATCAACAAACTATTAATTATATCTGATAAAGAGACCTAACAAATACTGCCATAAATTGCTGAAAAATTCATACTGTAAAATACAGAAGTTTATTTGATGAGTATAAGAAATAATTTGATAAAACAATAGTTTGACTTATTATAGGGTGAACAAGCTCATTCAGGCTTTCCAGAAATAGCATACACAAGATATGCCTCTACTTTGCTTCAGAAAGGATACAAGGTTGCTAGAATAGAACAAACTGAAACACCGGATATGATGAATGATAGACTGAAAACCAGTAAGATCATTTATTAGAAGCACATTGAAGTTTTTATACTATAGGATTATTGCACTGGTATTGAGGAATTTTGTCCAGAGCTGTATATCATATTTGCACAATATTCCTCAATATATTGATCAACTTTAATAATAGGCTGGTATAACTTTTGAAAGAGGACGAAGACTGTATAACTCGTGCATTGTCATTTATATTATTTTTTGTAATTAAAAAAAACCAAATTAATTAAATTTTTGTGCCAATTATTCATGAGAAATGAATTAAAAAGGATTTCAAAATTTGATTCTGAAACTGTTAAAATTACCTCCCTTGCAACAAAATGACTGGCACATATATATGGGAAAGAGATAAAATAGAAAGTTAACAATTTTGGATTCACTAGGATATTGATTATTATATTGACTTTTTCTGCTGAAATGAGGACTTCATTCTCTATGATACAATGTGTCATTGTGTGATACGAGTAAGAATTTTGATTTAATAGTTTCATGTTACGAAAAAAAGTTTCAATCTCATATTTGCATTTAAGATTTTATTTACATGTTGAAAAAAAATTTACATTAATAAGAAAGAATTATTTGTAAGTTCAGAAAATTCTGCATGCTTTTATTATTGGGATTGATGAAAAATGGGACATAAATCAGTGATATTGTTTGCCTCAAATTACAGCCGAAATTCGGCTTTTTCCCCTAGAGAAAATTCCCAATTACTTAAAAAAATGGCTTAAAATTCCTCCCAAAAAGTTTTACATTTTCCCCAAACAGTGATGGCATTGGTAGTAATGATTGTAAATATCGTATTCATGTTATTATTTTGCTATTAGAAAGCACTTTTGAGATCCGGTTTTCTGATCAGAATCATCATGGTGTTTGTAACACATGTGGTTTTCAATGCATTAAGTACCATCATTGCTTCTGTTTCTTTCCCCTCTTAGAAAAGTACCTTTCAGGTTGAAAATGTCTGACAACCAAAATATACATGAAAAAACAGTGCAAAAAAGACTGCAAAGGTCGGCAAAAAATCGGAAATGTGTTTAGAATAAAATATACAAATTTCCCAATTTCAATAAAAAATATGCATTTTTCCCAATAAAAAACGGTAGAGGTAGTTTTGAAAAAAGACAACAATATCACTGTAAATGTGAGATTCATTATAAAGATTTGTGAAACGCTGCTATCACAATTTTCACAATGATATAAACATTGCCAAAATAAAAAAATTTACAGTTGTAAATTGAAAAAGCTATATATATATAGATCTATATGTATACTGTTTTATGTGTTATTTGGTTGCTGTACCATTGACCTCAACCATTCTTTTATTGTCTTTTTAAAAATTTGCTCTTATACAGAGGTATCACTATCTAGGGGATCTCTCCTGAATTTGGCTTAGATACAGAGATCACAATATTTAGCTGATCATATATTTCATTCCATGAGGATACAATGGTCACATGATCTTTCTTGAATTTAGCTCACATACAGAGGTCCTTAACATTCAACAGTTAATATTTTTTGTGTGTAACCTGTTAATAATTGACTTTAAAAGCCTGATAGAAAACAATATTCATCTTGCAGTGTCTAGAATGGCCACAAAGTTTGACAAAGTAGTAAGGCGTGAAGTATGCCGTGTGACCACTAAAGGAACACAGACATTTAGTTTTCTGGATGGTGATGCAACAGAGGCTAAAAGTAACTTCTTACTTGGTATTGCTGAAAAGGTAAGAAAAGGGACATAACTCACAATGGAATTTAGAATCTGATTTTTGTATCACCTCCATATATCTGATTACTTGGGAAAAGGTTAATGGTTGAAGAAAAAAAGCATAAACACAAAAAAAAAAAGAAAAAAAGCAGTTCACAAAAGCAAAAGAACTGTTTTACTAAAAAGATATTACAATAAAATTGAGAATGGAAATGGGGAATGTGTCAAAGAGACAAAAACCCGGCCATAGATCAGACAACAGCAGAAGGCCACTAATGGGTCTTCAATGCAGTGAGAAACTCCTGCACCCGGAGGCGTCCTTCAGCCGGCCCCTAAACAAATATGTATATTAGTTCAGTGATAATGGACACCATACTAAACTCCAAATTAAACACAAGAAACTAAAATTAAAAATGATACAAGACTAACAAAGGCCAGAGGCTCCTGACTTGGGACAGGTGCAAAAATGCGGCAAGGTTAAACATGTTTTTTGAGATCTCAACCCTCCCCCTATACCTCTAGCCAATGTAGAAAAAACAAACGTACAACAGTACGCACAGTAAAACTCAGTTCAAGAGAAGTCCAAGTCCGATGTCAGAATAGGAAACAAAAGAAAATAAACAAAATGACAATAATACATAAATAACAACAGACTACTAGCAGTTACTGACATGCCAGCTCCAGACCTCAATTAAACTGATTGAAAGATTATGTCTTCATCATATGAAAAACCTCAAGCCTCCCCTTGATGAGATAATCAATTAGAAAACCCATACAGTATAGTTAGCTATAACAGTCCTTGTCTTGACAATATGTACATGATGTAAAACTATTAAAAAAACAAGAAAAAAACAAAGACCTGATATATATATATGCTAAAACAACATAGAAAAAAACCCAAATATGACCCAGACCAACCAACTTCAGCCACTGAAATACAGGATATTCAAATATATTAATAAGTTTCCCAACTTTGTTGCAGTATTTATTTATACCATTGCTTAAAAAAAGTAAATAAGCCAAGTAGGATGAATTGCAAAACAACTTAGAAGTTGATATTGAATGATGCATTTCATTGTGAAAAGTCTGATAACTTGTAGGATGTACATTTCAGTGTGAAAAGTCTGATAACATGTAGGATGTACACTTCAGTGTGAAAAGTCTGATAACATGTAGGATGTACACTTCAGTGTGAAAAGTCTGATAACATGTAGGATGTACACTTCAGTGTTAAAAGTCTGATAACATGTAGGATGTACACTTCAGTGTTAAAAGTCTGATAACTTGTAGGATGTACACTTCAGTGTTAAAAGTCTGATAACATGTAGGATGTTCACTTCAGTGTTAAAAGTCTGATAACATGTAGGATGTTCACTTCAGTGTGAAAAGTCTGATAACATGTAGGATGTACACTTCAGTGCGAAAAGTATGATAACATGTAGGATGTACACTTCAGTGTTAAAAGTCTGATAACATGTAGGATGTACACTTCAGTGTTAAAAGTCTGATAACATGTTCTCTTTGGTGGGAAAAGTTAGATAACATGTAAATTGTAAACTTCAGTGTGACCGTCAGATGACACGTAAGATATACACTTCATTGTGAAAATTCAGATGACGCACACATCAGTGTGAAAGGTTAGATAACATATTCACTTTAGTGTATAATTGGGAATATTGTATAATTTATATTGTATAGGAAGATTCCTCTGAAGGTTGCAGTACACATAGTGTTTGTTTTGTTGACACTTTAGTGTATAATTGTGAACAATGTATAATTTATATTGTAGGAAGATTCCTCTGAAGGTTGCAGTACATATGGTGTTTGTTTTGTTGACACTTCTATAGGCAAATTTCATGCAAGTATTTACCTAGTCTATAGCTATGAAAATTTTTCACTAAGTTATTTCACTGTGTTAGGTTACCTCACTTGCATTGCTATCCAAACAGCATGAAACCCCCTCTCTCAATGTAAATCAGAAGGTGTCGTTGATTTTATAGCCTTAGATCTAAAATGCACTGCCTATTGCACAGTTTACATTTTTGTCAATTATGTTGTAATTTTCCATTAGGCCATGCAAAAATGATTGTTTCCTTCCCCTAATCTTGCCGGGTCTCTTTTTAACCTCTGGGTCAATTTGTTTTTCTTCTTTCTTTTTTTTCCAGATGAAAAAAAAGAGTTGCTTTGGTTTCTATTGACAATTTTTCAATGATGCTTTTTGAAATTCTCTGATAATATTTTAAATATGATTCAACATTGCTCAAATAACATTCCTTTAGTTTCACATAGCTTATGCAACAATATAGAATGTAAAACAAGAATTTACTGCCAAGTTAACAACAACATTCTCTGAAGAGCGAAACTGTTTTTTCACAAAAAAATAAAATAAAATAAAAAAAATTCAGGCCTGCCAGGCCTTAATAATTTTCACATGTGAGGGGAAACCAACATTCACTTTTCCATGGCCTTATGTGGGCAAAGTTCGATAGCCTAATTTAAAAAAAAATTGGCTGGGAACTTTACTGATTACAAGGTTTGATGAAAATGTAACTTCTATGTTGTCAATTGCAATTAAACTGCAAGAGGCCATATTTCTTTTACAGATATTTAAAATACAAGAATGAAAGTCACTATTAAAGACAAACTTTTGAAAATGGAACCTGATGCATCTGAAATCAATTTTCCATACTGTAATTTATTTGTTTGTTAACTGAAGTGAAATTGGATAGTGGTAGAATATTTGATTGTGCCAAAGTTATTGTTAACTAAAAGAGTCTTAAGAGCAACTTAAATTTTATGCATAATATGTAGAAGTCTTTGACTGATGTAGATTTTTCACACAAAAAATCATTAAATTTTTTTCATATTATGGGAAATATTTATTGTGATGTGAAATGTCCCCCTTAAAGACTATTTCAAATATTTTACATCTTTAATGCATATTCAGTAAACTCAAGTGGCTTGATTTAACTTCGACTTATATAACATAAAAATGTTTACACAAATTAAGTTCTTTACAAATAAAAGGAGATGTGTAGTATACATTAATTAATCAGCAACCCAAAGACAAAAATAACCAAAAACATCTAGAGGGCAACAAACCACCTTTCAACAATAAACAGGTGTCTTTTAAAATGTGTCTAGCTCTTAATTGTCCTGATTTTTGTCCCAATTTTTGTTCGTTTTCTAAGTTAAGTTTTATATTCTATGAGTTTAGTTTCAGTTTCAGACATGAGATATTTTAAATGATTCAATGTCCAATTTATTTATGCTATGTGTAGATACTTTATTTATATCAATAAATTCACAAACTGATGTTAGCAAGTAATTATAAAATAAATTGATATACGAATTACTAATTTAAGGATTATGTACCCTTTTGTTGATTCAATGCGAAACATATGCAAATTTTATAGAAAATCCACAGCCTTTCCCCTTGTACTCTCATATTTGGCAATTTGGTGCTTGATAAATAGAGGATTAGTGCATGCAGTGCTAGCAATTATTTCCTTAAAACAAGTTTATTAATTTAGATCTTGATTTAAACAAGTATAAATATGGGCCAATTCAAGTACACCTTCTAGGGTGCGCTCGACTTTAGTGACTCAGCACGATGTTTTTGGAATTAAAAGGTTGTTTAGGACTTTTTGTTAAAAATAAACGCTAGCACATCATAGAAAAACAAGTGAGTAATCTATGTTTAAAATTTCATAACAAAAATCTCTGCATTAAAGTCTGTGGATTTTCTACAAAAATCTTGGTTTTATTTGACACAAAATCCCCATTTTCTATTAAATGCAATGAAACACTAAATAATAATGCTTTGCACGAAGTTTCCCCTTGGTATATGTACAAAATGGCCCATCTCTATTATTCATTATTTTTGCTGTTTTGATACTATTGCAGTTTGAAAATTTCGTAATTCACATGGTCACAGAAGGGGTCATAAACCTTAAACAATTTGTAAAATAAATTTATTTTTGATATTGTGAACAGAATCGAAGATAAATTTTCTGATTGTGAATTTGAACTATTTATCTAGGTAGGACAGTTTACAGATGATAGATATTCCTCAAGACTCAGGACATTGATTGCTCATTATACACCTGTTCAGGTAAATTTGTTAAAAGATTTCTCAATGAATATATTTTGGAAGGAATTTTTGTTTTTGAAAATAGGATATTCCAAATTTAAGTTGGTGGTAAAATTTGATTTATAGAATTTATAAGTGAGAGGCAAAAGATACCAAAGGGACATTCAAACAAGTAGAAAATAAACTGACAATGCCATGGCTAAAAGAAGAATAAGATCAACAGACAACAGACATCAGTACACAAAACACAACATAGAAAACTAAAGACTGAGCGACAGGAACCGCACTAAACACTTGGGTTGATCTCAGGTGCTCTGGAAGGGTAAGCAGATCCTGCTCCACATGTGGCACCGGTCATGTTGCTCATGGTAGTACAAACCCGGTAATAAGTCTTAATTCGGTAGGTCTCATTTGGGGAAAAGGGGAAGGGATTGTAGTTACGACAATTGGAAAGTATCCGCTGTCATCTGTGAAAAGGATTTCTTTTACAATGAATTTTGATAACTCTATGTGCTGTATGTGTCCTTGAGACAGCAAATTAACAACACTGAAAATCAAAAGTCATCTAGAGGTCAACACATGGTCTTCAACAAGAGTCAGATGTTTATACAACATATCCAGCTTGAAATCATCTACAGTAAAAAAAAATGTGAATTAGTTCAAGAGAGACCACCAAAGATCTGCAATCTTATTGATAAACTATAGATTCAGATGAAAATGGTGGTGTCCTTTTAATAATTACTTTACTTTGAAAATAGTTTGTTATTGTTTAGAATTTTTTTAGTAACAATTTCAAATGAATTTTATTTCTGGAATTTGTTTTACATATGAAATGGAACCCAATGAGGTTTTGTTTGACCTTTTATAACCTTGATAGTCTTTTGGAAGCAAGCTTTCTTTATAGACAACCTTTTTTCATGTTAAATCATAAAATGTCCAGGTAATATGAATTAATGCCTTTCGAAGCTTTCCCTTTATTTTGACAACTAATATTCCTTATGGATTAACTAGGTTATAGAAAAATGATCACCTTAACTTTGCTCTTCTGTTCAAGGAGTGACAGATATGCAGCTATGTCTACACAGAATTCAAACATTGAATTCAACGTCTTGTATTGAGAGTCTAAGAACTCTCGCAATAACTCTTTGAATGGACAGTAAGTGGCCAATTGCAAGGCAGTATTTCTGCCCCTACCAAGCACATAATTTTTAGCTTACCTGGCCTTTTAAGGCCATGTGAAATTTTGCCATCACTTTGCCTCCTTCATCCTTGCAAGAAAGGAAAAATAATAAATATCAAAATGGCATATTTTTTACCAGATGAGCAATTCAGGCTCATTGGAGCCTCTTTTGTTCTAATGGGAGATAAAACTTCTTTCTCTTTATCCTGGTACACCCACTTTGCCAACAATTACTTCAAAAATTACATATGCACTTAAATGTTTTTTATTATTTTCTAAAGGTATTGTTGGAAAGAGGGAAAAGTTCACAGAAAACCAATCAACTGATCAACAACAATCTAATTTCTGTCACTAAAGAGTTTTTGGCACCAGGATCAGAATTCTGGGAGAGTGGCAAGACATTGAAACGTTTAGCTGAGGAAGATTATTTTAGTTCAGAGGATGAATTAGTATGGCCTGATACAATAAAGAAAATGATCTCAGACAGTAAGTTAAAGTGTATCCATAGGAATGGATGAGTTATAATAAAAGAATGCATCAGTTTCCTGTTAAAAAGTTATTCACTTGTATTGTAATGTGCAGTAATTAAACACAATATTATTGAACACCCCACTCTAGGAGTTGTTGCTATTTTGCATTCACCATGTCTGTCCGTAAAAAATAAAATTGAGAATGGAAATGGGGAATGTGTCAAAGAGACAACAACCTGACCAAAGAGCAGAAAACAGCCCAAGGTCACCAAGGTCTTCAGTACAGCTAGAAAAACCCCCACCCGGAGGCGGGCTTCAGCTGGCATACATCCAACAAATTTTTGTCACACTTTTCACCAGTACTACTGAACCGAATGACTTCATATTTAGTCAGCAGCTTGACAGTAATGAGTTGTTTTCATTTGAGCTCTTATCTGATCAAATGAGTTGTTACATTTGAGCATTTTTATTCCCCTGCCTTCACCAGAGGAGGCATTAAGTGTTACCCTTGTCTGTATGTTCCAAAATAAACAGTTTACAGGTATATTTTTTTAACAATTTAGAACAATTTGAAGATTTGTTTGTATAAAAAATTATTATTGCTGTGTACAATATTTTTATGCCCCCACCTAGTTATGCCCCACCTAGGGGCATTATGTTTTTCGCTCTGTGCGCCCGTTTGTCCGTCCGTCCATTCATCCATCCGTTCGTTCATCTGTCCCACTTCAGGTTAACGTTTTTGGTCGAGGTAGTTTTTGATGAAGTTGAAGTCCAATCAACTTGAAACTTAGTACACATGTTCCCTATGATATGATCTTTCTATAAATTTTAATGCCAAATTAGAGTTTTTACCCCAATTTCACGGTCCACTGAACATAGAAAATGATAGTGCGATTGGGGCATCGGTGTACTATGGACACATTCTTGTTATGGGATGTTTACTGAACATTAACTGTATTGTAACTTTGACCAACATTTCCTTATCTTGTATATGTAAGGGACTGTAATTGAAAATGAAATATTTCTGTTTACATGTATTTTAATCTTTTATAGGTTATAGTTTAGATTGATTTTCCTTTAAATAATTTCCATAGCAAGTCATTAACTATTCTGTGCCTCTATACCTTTGATAAAAACTTCCTTATTTTTTATATGTACTGTAAACCAACTTATTTTCGTGAGCGATTTATTTTCGGAACTTTTGAGAGTTGCAAAATAACGCAAATATAAATCTTTGTGAATTTGTTAAACTTTTATCTTCCTTTATATAAATACATCCTAATAATTTAAAAATCACGAAAATAAATCGCTGCACAAGTTGTCTTTGCCTAAACGCGAAATAAAGTATCTGCGAAAATAAGTTGGTTTACAGTATAAATTGAAAATGAAATATTTCTGTTTATGAATATTTAAATCTTTTATAGGTGATAGTTTAGGTTTAACTGCCGCAGATGAATATAACCTTGCCGTCAGAGCTCTTGGTTCAGTCACATGGTATGTATTTTATACTTTGAAGGTTTTATTGGTAATTTTGAATCATGAAAAGAGATCAATATTTCTGTACTTTGACAATAATTATACCCAGACTCTAAAAGTGGTTTTTTTTCCAGCAAAAACCTTGATCTTAAAGACTTTCAACATCAAATTCAACCATATGCCATGCGCACTATTAAAGCAGACGAGAGGCATTCAAAGCCAATTTATTTACTATATTTTAGGTATTTACAGTTTTGTTTACTTGATACTGATTTGTTGACAATGAAGAATTTTGAAGAGTACACTCCCCTTGATGACAATGTGATAAAAACCAGATCAACTATTTTTACTGGCAAACAGCACATGGTAAGTTATATTCATTCATTGAGTGAAAAAAAGAAACAAAGATAAGATTTTTAAATATTCAGTTTTATTATGATTTTTGTTTTTTTGTTCTTTGGGAAATGAAACTATAGAAGAAGAAGAAGAAGAAGAAGAAGAAGATGCTTTATTTCCATCAAATGGGCTCACAAGGAGCATAATATAATATCATGATAATATTATTTTTACAAATATAATGAACAATACAGTATCCATAGTTACAAACACAAATAAGAAACAACAGTTTTCACATATTCGTACATATATAGGAGTATATATAAAAACCTTCGTCTCAGGCACACCTCTAGAAAGTAACAAAAAAAAAAAAAGAATTCTGTGAGTAGGCTAGATATATCTAGCTTAACTGCAGGAGGCACCAAGGGACGGTGCTATATGGCATGGTGGGTGCATATTAAAATGTGTATTGGGACATTAACATGATTAATGAAATGGTAAGATATTGTAAGAAGTTGCACATAACTGGTATGTCATCCTCGTGCCTGGTGCAGAGGAGTCAGTACTATTTAAAGTGACACAACTGCAAGAGGCACCAAGGGACAATGCTAATTGACATGCCAAAGTGCACATATTACGAAAAGATAAAATATTACCAGTTTAATCAAGAAATATCACAAACAGAAAGGTAATAGAGCTTATATGATGTGTCCTTTACCCCACCATGCCAACCTTGTGCCTAGTGCAGAAAGCCTGATTTAAATATTTATCTTTAAGTTATATTTTGTCTTCATCAACTAACTCACAGACAGATATCAAGATATCCAGATTCTCTACATTAAGAAGCCATATCAGTTTTTGGCTAGGAATCAAATGCGTAAAGTTTGGGCATAGTGTGTTAATAGTGGAATTTAAACAATTTCTCTTATCTTGAGATGATGTACATGAAAATAAAAAATGTTTTTCATCATCAACTTCATTTGAGGTGCACCTGAGACATATTCTGTCTTGTCGGAGAGTACCCTGATAGCAACCTTGTTCAATTCTTAGTCTGTGAGAAGAAATACGCAATCGAGTGAAATTTCTCCTCTGCTCAGGTGATTGTAATATAGTAAGATATCTTTCAAGACCAAAATGAGTCTTAAAAGTGCTATAGCTACAAAGCTTCCCATCAGCACAATTGTGCATTTGTTTTCTCCACTGTATTTCATAGTGCTGATAAAAAAACTTTTTAAATAAAATTTTGAATCTAAAGTTGCTTGCAAAGGCTAGACTTTCAACCCCATTATTTTTTTTTTACAAATAGTTTAAAGATCCATACCAAGAGGGAATTTTTGATTCAAATAATAGCTTTGACTCTAAATATGCATCTTTTAGTAATGGAAAGGATGAACCCAAATTTTCGAGCCGGTGCCAGTATCTGATCATAGATTTGGTGATATCAAAATGTAAAGGAAATCTCCCAACTTCTGAAAGAGTGGCAAAGTTATATGAATTGTATGCATTTGCAGTGCTTTTCTGGATTTACTTTAATCAGGAATTGAGTAGATTTCTGTATTGTGAGAAGATTTATCTGTCTTAGGTCCTTTACAAACTTCTAAGATTTCTGTGATTTTAAAGAATACTATATTACTAACATCTAAGATAATTGTTTTTCCAGGTTTTAGATGGTGTAACATTGGCCAATCTAGATGTAACAGAGAACTCGTCTAATGGAACCCTTGAAGGCACACTTTTACAAAGACTGGATCAGTGTTCTACACCATTTGGTAAATTTGTGGTTTTATTAACTTTTATTTGCATTGGCTCGTGTAACATTTAAAAAAAGTTAGAAGATGACAAATGAACAATAACAAAATATTCAGACATAGACTGACAACAACTTGACCAAAAATAAAATGATTAATTGAAAACAAAAAGCAACAAAACAATACACACTAACTCTGACCCAACCAAAAACAGGGGATGAACTTGGTGTACAGGATAGATAACAGTTACTGCTCAACTAGTGTCACAATTATAAAAATTGACCACATGACAAGTCTCAATATATTTTAAAAATCCCCTTGTAATTGTATACAACTAACTTTTTCCATGAAAAAGGCATAATGTTGTCTCTTTTACTAATTCCCCATTTCCATTCTCAGTTTTATAATAGATTAAAGTCAGAAGTTAGGCTATGACGTTCAATTATTATACCCCACGCAACGGGTTGCGGAGGGTATAATGTTTTTGACCCGTCCGTCCGTCCGTCTGTCAGTCCGTCAGTCCGTCAGTCCTGTTTCTTGTCATCGCAACTCCTCTCAAACCACACAACAGAATTTCATGAAACCTTTTCAGGTAATAAGGACATACTACGTAGATGTGCATATCGACAGGAAATTGGGATTCAATTTTTTTTCTAGGAGTTACGCCCCTTTGAACTTATTTACTTTAATGTACTACTGCAACAGTTTGTCATCGCAACTCCTCTCAAACCACACAACAGAATTTCATGAAACCTTTTCAGATAATAAAGACATACTACGTAGATGTGCATATCGACAGGAAATTGGGATTCAATTTTTTTTCTAGGAGTTACGCCCCTTTGAACTTATTTACTTTAATGTACTACTGCAACAGTTTGTCATCGCAACTCCTCTCAAACCACACAACAGAATTTCATGAAACCTTTTCAGATAATAAAGACATACTACGTAGATGTGCATATCGACAGGAAATTGCGATTCAATTTTTTTTCTAGGAGTTACGCCCCTTTGAACTTATTTACTTTAATGTACTACTGCAACAGTTTGTCATCGCAACTCCTCTCAAACCACACAACAGAATTTCATGAAACTTTGTAGATAATAAGGACATACTAGGTAGATGTGCATATCGACAGGAAATTATGATTCAATTTTTTTTCTAGGAGTTACGCCCCTTTGAACTTATTTACTTTAATGTACTACTGCAACAGTTTGTCATCTCAACTCCTCTGAAACCACACAACAAAATTTCATGAAACTTTGTAGATAATAAGGCCATACTACGTAGATGTGCATATTGACAGGAAATTACGATTCAATTTTTTTTCCAGGAGTTACGTCCCTTTGAACTTATTTGCCAAATATACTACTGCAACCTTTTGTCATCTCAACTCCTCTCAAACCACACAATAGAATTTCATGATACCTTTTCAGATAATAAGGACATATTACGTAGATGTGCATATCCACAGGAAATTATGATTCAATCTTTTTTCTAGGAGTTACGCCCCTTTGAACTTATTTGCTTCAATATACCTCTGCAACAGTTTGTCATCGCAACTCCTCTGAACCCACACAACAGAATTTCATGAAACTTTGTACATAATAAGGAAATACTATGTAAATGTGCATATCAACAGGAAATTATGATTCAATTTTTTTTTCTTATACAATTTTTTTTTCTTACAGTTATTTTATTTCTCCAGTGACAATGTGGGGACGTGGGGTATGTGAGCGCGCTCACTAAGGTTCTTTAATTATTTTTACTTTGATAATAATTTTGTGTGGTTTCAAGTTATATTTCTAAATTAGAAACAAGATCTCAGCGATGCTTAGTCTGCCTTATATATGGGAATTAAAAAAAAATCCTTCTTGGTTTGGTGAGAGGTAGTGTTGGATAATCGGTTGAAATTACCAACCGATTATCTATTACTATTTGTTGATGGCAACCAACCGACTATTGGTTATAATCGCATCATTATACCTTGCCCTTTTTCTTATATGAATTCATGCATTCAGCCACATTGCATATATTCCATATCATTGCAGAGTTCTATATGTTCATGTTTGATCTTTTGTTTATTTTTCATATTTTATTTAGCAATTAAAACAGTGAATCAATTAGAATCCAGATTCAGATTGAACATATTTTGTCATATAATTACAACATTTATTACCAACAATGACACTTAAATTTCTAAATTTCAATGGTATTACTCACATTATAATTTCAAATACATAGCTGTAACAAAATTTGAATGCTTTTCATTAAAAGATATATAACATGTATAAAGTATTTAACTTTAAGCAATTTAAAATTAATCAATAAATAAAACAATGCATTTGCATTGAAATATATGCATTTAACTTGGGGGATTCTACCAATGCCTGTTAATTCTTGTGGAATGCGTTTTTTTCACTCTTTTGATCATTATTCTTCTGTCAACTGTGTCATTCGTGCCTCTGTACTTATTATTGTAAGAATATGGAAATCTTTCATAGTTGGTCCGTATAAGATCCATGAGTTGTATATTCAATGGGGGACAAACCGGGAAAATTTACAAAAATAAACGATGTTTGACAAGCAATATGGAAAGGAATATGACGTTTTTTTAAGGCAATAAATGGATGAAACATTAATAAAAGGCAATTTGCACCACATTCTAATGTTTTAACAAATTTATTTTGTCAAAAATCAAAATGATTTGATGTACGCTCTCTAGTAACAAGTACTGGAAGTGAAAAAAAGTATTTCATAAAAAGTTATTTATTTAAAATAACATACGATCAATCTGTAAAGGCAATGCTGTTTACCACGTTTATAAAGAAAGAAATTCTTTGATTAAAGGATTTTTAACTGATATTTTTCGTTATATTTTGTTTTATTGCGCATGTAAAATGGTAACCGGAAATGGACCGGCTGTTGATATGCTAAAGTCTGGCAACTATAACGACAATCGATTGAACAAAATCCCAAATGATTATCGACATCGCCAATCCCAACCAACTGATTTCCAACTTATTCTGATCATCAGAACAACACTAGTGAGAGGATCCCCATTGCCAGTAGTTGTGATATTGCACTGAACTTGCTGACATGGAGAGTTTAATTGACATTTATTTCTAGGGAGTAAATAATTTACATGTATTTTTAGAGAGAAATCAATTTACATGTATTTCTAGGGAGAAATTAATTTACATGTATTTCTAGGGAGAAATCAATTTTTATGTATTTTTAAGGAGAAATTAATTTACATGTATTTCTGATGTTTCTAGAGAGAAATTAATTTACATGTATTTCTAGGGAGAAGATTACTAAAGCAGTGGCTGTGTGCTCCTTTGTGTAATCCTGAATCGATCAATGACAGATTAAATGGTGTTGAAGATTTAATGGAATCTCAAGATATTGTAGCAGAAGTTGTAGAAATGATGAAGAAAATTCCTGATCTGGAAAGAATATTAAATAGGTAATGGACCCATTCAAATATTTTACAAACTCGCCCAATGCCCTGTTATGAAATGGGAAAGTTGTGTCTATAGTTTTCATGGGAAGTATATATACAATATTTGGTCAATGTCAGAAAAATATAAACTTTTTTGTATGAGGCTGAGAAACTGGGTAAGGGCGAGGTTTTACCGAGCCCTTCCCTAGTTTTGTGCTGAGTACAAAAAAGTTTATATTTTCATTACATTGACCTAATATTGTTTTTATACTGCAACTTAAATAAATACAATGATAGCTATTTAAATGTAACAGAAATTTCAAAATTATTTTCATCCCTTAATGAACCCCTGATTGTAGAAAAAAGTGTTTCATGATGAAATTGACATTGCACATAATATAGCTGTGTTACTATATTTAGGAAATAAACTCAACTAGTTGCAGTATAAACCTACTTACTAGTTGCCAAATGTTGAATGAAATTACAAATTTTTCTCAGACCAGTAATGACTTCATATTTGTGAGTGGGTGTATGCCTAACACAACATGTGCACATTTGTTGAAATAAAGAGTCGGACAACTCTCCACCAGAGACCAAATGATGTACAGGTGAACAACTATAGGTTACTGTATGGCTTCAACAATGAGAAAAACCCTTACCACATAGAAAGCTATAATAGACCCAAAGATGATAAATTTAAATCAATTCAAACAGAAAAACTAATGGCCTGATTTATTTACAAAACAATAAACAAAAAACAAATAAATATATAGCAACAGTGACAACTACTGAATTACAGGCTCCTGACTTGGGACAGGCACACACAGAATGTGGCAGTGGTAAACATGTTTGCTGGCACTTGTTTATCTTGTTTATTGTTTGTTTTTGTTACAGAATCCACAGTTTAGGTTTATCTAAGAAGAAGAATCATCCTGATAGTAGAGCTATCTTTTTTGATGAAGCTAAATACAGGTATGTAGAGGTAAAACTCAGGTGTGTTTGATACTAATATTTCTGGTAACCTGTTATACACAGGTTTGTACAGATAAAACTCAGGTGTGTAACACAAATATTGTCCGGTCGTAATTATTGATACTCATTGCTCTTCAATTTGAAATTTATTTGACCTTTGTTACTTTTTGATTTGAGCATTACTGATGAGTCTTTTATAGACAAACATGCGTCTGCCCAACAAAATTTTAATCCTGGTATCTATGATGAGTTTATTTGCTAGTAACCTGTAAAACTGTTATACAAAGGTATGTACAGGTAAAACTCAGGAGTGAGAACAAATATTTGAATAAAACTGAAAGTAGGAAATAATGGCAAAGGGTTGATTTTTAGCTTAGTTTGTGATTAAGATGACAATGCCAACAATTATTTCCTCTGGAAAATTTCATTTAATTTTCGTGGAAAATCAAAAAAGGTGGTATTTGTGAAGTCATGAATAGAATGCATGTACATAAAATATTAACAAAAAGACATATTTCCTATTTAGTCGGTGTATTAGCTATAATTTATTGTGATATTGGTCAATAAATCCTATTTTAAAATAGGGGTCATTTTAGGACCTTATCAAACCTATGAAAATAAGAAGATGTGGTATGATTGCCAATGAGACAACTCTCCACCAGAGATCAAATGATACAGAAGTTAACAACTATAGGTCACTGTACGGCCTTCAAAACGAAAAAATCATACTGCATAGTCAGCTATAAAAGGCCTAGGCCTTGAATCACAATTTTGTCGGTAACTACACATCAGATCTAATATTTGGTATTAGGATTTATGTAAGCATGTTAGACTGTGTAATGCATTTTCATTGCTCATAAATATTTTTACTGAATACTAAAAATGGGGGTATCAATAGTCAGCAAAAGCTTACAAATCTACTTTTTATTATTTCCTGTTTCAGTAAGAAAAAGATTGAAGAGTTCCTTTCCACATTGGAAGGTTTCAAAACATCATATAATATTGCATTAAAGTTCAAAGAAAGAGTCAAATCATTTAAGTAAGTATATTTATAACATTTGTGAATTGTTTTATTGTCATTGTAATGTATGGATAGTTTGTTAGAGTGATTTCCATGGAGGTCAAAATTATTGATCTTTTTATCAGGCTTACCAAATTAACTGTGCTACAAGCAGGTTAGAGAAATCCTTACTAGATCATAGTGATGATTTATACAAGGCTTGAACAAATGAAGATTGTCCATAAAACAAAGTTTTATAGTCAAAAGATCAGTATTTGGTCTGTCAACACTGAGGTTGTGAGTTTGAACCTCAGTTTTACTTAATCAATGAAAATATGTTCCCATAAAACGAAAGTATCGACAGTAGTTGTTAGTATTAAATTTACTTGATTCAACAATTTTTGTTTACAAGTTACAAATATAATTGAATCCACAATGATACATAATATATAATGATGCATTTTAGGTCTAAGCTGTTACAGAAAACTTTGACTTTGGTCAGTGTTCAAGGACAAAACGGTGTCTTCCCAGATTTAAAAGATGAAATAGTATTCTTTGAGGTATGTACTTAGTATTCTGTACTTAGTATTCTTTGAGGTATGTTCTTAGTATTCTTTGAGGTATGTATTTAGTATTCTTTGAGGTATGTACTCAGTGCATTCATTAAGACCCGGTACCCGGTACTTTTACCCACCTACGGAAGCGTCTGGTACCGGCAGAAAAAATAAAAATACAAAAAAAAAATATGTAAAATTTTTTTGAAGATCGTTCAAATCTAATTTCTTTCATTCCTTGATAATCTCCGTTCTACGCCGTTCATGTGTATGTTTATAGGTGTCTTCGTCGAGGTCCACCTTAAAGTATAGATCTGTCTTCTGCCAATTTAGGCACACCTCCAAAGTAGGAGAAGTGATAATTATAAACCATGTGTCTGTATCTGTATCGTAAGAGCACTTTAAAAAGCGACGATTTAGCAGTATATTTTCAAGCGGCAAATTGTTGATGAATTTAAACAACAACAGCAATATTATGTCTAATAACGAATAAAAGGAAAGCAGCTTGTATCACAGATTATTTTATGATTAAAAGGTTTAATAAAGGTGAACATTCTATGAAATTCAGAAAATCGTTAATCGTATCCAATCAGTTCGTTTTCCGTTGGATGTTGTCACTGATCTCCGTTTACTCTATATGTTTTCTATGTTGTGATTGAATTTTTTAGTGTAAGACTTTGTGAAACAATCTGAACTAACATAACTGTTACGTTTACAAAATATGATATCTGACGAGATTTAAGACTTCTAAACTTAAAAAAAAAGACAGCTCTGAAGAGTGAAAAAAAAAAAATTTTTACTTACTATAGTCAAGATTAATTTGCCCCCCCCCCCCCCCCCCCCCCTTTTTCACAATCACCCCTTTCTATAAATATTAAAGTTAAGTGAAAGTTGAATACATGTTTTTTTCTGACAAGAACAACCATCACAATACTTAGCATATATCAAAAATGTTTGTTTGCTGTTTTGCATGAGAGCATGTTTATTGTTCATGTTGTTTAATTGTTTGCATGACACTGTTAAATTACTTACACAAACAATTGACACAGTTATGATTATAACAAAGCAATAAAAAAAAGTTACAACAAGTTTTATTATCAATTTTTTTTAATAATATACTATGTAACTTATGAAATTTCATTCACAAAATTGAACAAATGCAAAACATTTAATAAAAGTATAAAAACAAACAAAACATTTAAACAACATTTCACATGTAACCCCTGCATTATAGGTCATAATGTGGAAGTATTATATTGACAATATAATACTTCCATGGTCATACATATTTTATAACTGATTACAAAATAATTATAAGCAATGTATTTTCAGATGATTACTCTAGCATGTCTAGAAAAAAAAACAATTCAATGTTAACTTACCCAAAATTGAAGCAAATATTACAGACTTTACCCTATTTTTTTAAGTAAAAAATTAAGGCTGAAATCCCTAAAATCCATGAGCTTCCGGGTGGCTTCGCCCCCCTGCTCCCCTACCAGGGCTAGCCCTGGACCCACTGGGGGCCTTAAGCGGCCCCAGACCCCTCGCCGTTTAGGTTTGGTTCCCCCTATAATCTCAAAGGTACCTCCAGTCTAAAAAAATAATGAACCCCCTGTGTACTAACTAATTGTATCGATATGTTTGAATTTTATCATATTTTGGAAGCAAATCTAATAAAAAGAGAACTTTGTGTAGACATAAATAAAATTGACTTTAACAGCATAGTAATGTCAAAAAAGGAGATCTATATTTCTTAGAGTTGGTGACAAATTCTTTAATTTGATTTTATTTTGAACATGACCTCTGACCTTTTTATAGCTCACCTGGCCCAAAAGGGCCAAGTGAGCTTTTCTCATCACTTGGCGTCCATCGTCGTTCGTTTACTTTTACAAAAATCTTCTTCTCCGAAACTACTGGGCCAAAAAAAACCAAACTTGGCCTAAATCATCCTTAGGGTATCTAGTTTTAAAAATATACTGATGACCCCGCCCATCAACCAAGATGGCCGCCATGGCTAAAAATAGAACATGGGGGTAAAATGCAGCTTTTGGCTTGTATCTTGGAAACTAAAGCATTTAGAGCAAATCTGACGGGGTAAAAATGTTCATCAGGTCAAGATCTATCTGCCATAAAATTTTCAGACGCATCAGACAACCCGTTGTTGGGTTGCTGCCCCTGAATTGGTAATTTTAAGGAAATTTTGCACTTTTTGATTATTATCTTGAATATTATAATAGATAGAGATAAACTGAAAACAGCAAAATCGTTCAGCAAAGTGAGATCTACAAATAAGTCAACATGACCAACATTTTCAATTGACCCCATAAGGAGTTATTGCCCTTTAAAGTAAATTTTTAACAATTTTTCATAAATTTTTGTAATCTTTTACAAAAATCTTCTCCTCTGAAACTACTAGGCCAAATTAAACCAAACTTGGCCTAAATCATCCTTAGGGTATTTAGTTTAAAAAATTATCCGATGACCCCGCCCATCAACCAACATGGCCGACATGGCTAAAAATAGAACATGGGGGTAAAATGCAAGTTTTGTCTATTATTTTGTGAACCATTATAAATAGAGAAAATTTGAAGGGAGCAAAAATGTTCAAAATAATGAGCTCTACCAATTATCCATATAAGTCAAAACTGTCAGACAATTTCTTATAGGATTTATTGCCCATAAATGACAAATTTTACCTTTTTTTTTCATTTTTGCCTATTATGAAAACTATGATATTTAGAGAGAAACATTTTTTTTTCCGTTACCTTATATGATTTAAATTATAATAGATAAATAGACACCTTAAATCACAAAAATGATCAGCAAGGCAACATCTATTAAGAAGTCAAATTTTGCCGATATAGTTAGTAGACTGTCACTCTTCATACGAGTAATTGCTCTTAAATAAGGATTTTTTTTACCCTCTTTTGTGTTTTGAACAAAAACTAAAGAAGATAGAGAGAAACTAAACAGACTAAAAGATCAGTAATACAAGATCAACAAAATAGAGATTTTTGTCATGAAGTCTATTTTTGTCTACTATGTTGGAGAGAGTCCATTGTTAGATCCTCAATTGTAACAACTCCAAATTAGATGCATTTGATTTTGAAATAAAATAGACACAATTTATCTCTCAATTTTGAATGCTCAAATATAAAATGTACTTACAATATTTTATTTAATTTTAGAATGCCTTTGATCATAACAAAGCCAAGAAAGATGGTGTAATAGTACCCAATAAAGGTTTGTAATTCTAAACATTGTTTTATTATGGTATAGCTGTCTTCTTTATACAAATACATTATTTTGATGTAAGTACAATCAAACCTACCCAACTATCACTTGGTTGAGGGGGCATTAAGTGTTACCCTTGTCCGTCTGTACGTCTGTCCCAAAATTAGTTTTCGTTCTCTAACTTTAGTTTGCCTCAACCAAATGTTATGAAACTTATACACAATGCTTATTACCTCAGAACACAGATCAAGTTTGAATTTGGGTGGCGTCACTTTTATCATTCTAGAGTTAAACCTCATTAATAATGGAAAATTGCTGAATTTTTCATTTTCGTTATCTAATTTTAGTTTGCCTCCACCTAATGTTATAAAATTTATGCTTATTACCACAAAACTCAGATCAAGTTTGAATTTGGATGGTATCACTTATACCGTTCTAGAGTAATGCCCCTTTATATATGGAACAATTGCTGAATTTTTCGTTTCTTTTCTCTTACTTCAGTTTGCCTCAACCATACCTTATGAAACTTATACACAATACTTATTCAGTTTTTTTCATTAGGTCTGTTTCTCAAATACTATAAGCAAAAGGTTTAACTATTTTTGGTGTAAGGGATGATTGTAAGATGTTTACGTTTGTCTTGCTGTTCATCTAACCTTGACATAGTTTACATAGATCAGTGATAATGTTTAGTTTATGTGATACTTGTAGTAAAAATCTTATCTTAAAAGACTTTCAAAAAATAGCTTTGATGATGATCAGTAAAGCAGACAAGCTTGTAGACCCATTGGTGGCCTTCGGCTGTTGTCTGCTCTATGGTCGGGTTGTTGTCTCTTTGACACATTCCCCATTTACATTCTCAATTTTATTGTGCACTCTTGTATTACTAAAATCCATTTCTAACAGGAACTGCTTTACTTTGAGAACACTTGAGTTCAAGCCCTAGTTTTGAGGGGTTTGTGTTGCTCAGTCATTTGTTTTCTATTTTGTATAAAAATGAGGGATGTGGTATGACTACCAAAGAGACATCTATCCTTCAGAGTTGAAATGAAGTGTTATTAAGCAAGTATTAGGCCACCAACAACTGTATGACCTTCAACAATGAGAAAAACCAATAGTCATCTATAAAAGCCAGACACGAAAAAAATATAAATCAATTCAAATGAGAAAACTTGCAGCTTATTTATAACAAAATAATTTACAAATAACTAATATGACAGACATGGGCTTATGACAACTGCTGAACTTTAGATTTGAGACAGGCACACAAAGAATGTAGCGGGTTTAAACATGCTTGTTTTGTGTTTTAGTATCTTCCTTTTCTTTTTTAATCCTACAAAATATTTATTCAGCTTGAATTATATGTGGTACTTTTAATTGTAGGTGTTGATCCTGATTATGACAAAGCTAAGCTTGATATCAAAATGACGGAGAGAAAATTTGATAAATACCTTGATGAACAGAGAGACAGAATTAGTTGCAGGGTAAGTTATCCAGTCAGACTTACCTGTAAGGTTTATGTCAATTGAGTGTCTTTTGTAAAAGAATGGCTCAGGACAGTTGCATGACTGATTTGACAAAAACTATGGATGAATCATGTTTGACGATTGTGTCGTAATGCCAATCTGCCTAAGAATCGGGCACTGGTGGAAACATGACAAACGAAAACCCACTCAGCTTTACGTTAATTTTAGTTCAGAATGTATAATGGTGCATGAATATAACATTCGTTTACTCTCTCTGTTCTGGTAATTCAAGATATATTTTGGTTGAAATGCACTAGAAATTAGAGATAACTCTGTAATTTTGTATCATTCTAACCAAAATTTATCTAGATATTTCTCAAATTACCAGACACGCATACCTCCCATTTCAAACTCGGGATGAGGGTAGCTTCAAAACACGGTGGTTACGTCGGTAAGTGTTTTGCTGCCATGTTTTGAATTTTTTCTAAATTGCCTGATTCTTACAAAGACTGGCACAAAATGACATTTACAGTACCAATTTTTTTTGTGCACCAGATACACATTACAACAATAAATGTCTCTTCAGAGATACTCAAGGCAAAAATATTTGAAAATCCAAAGCTTATTAAAAAAAAAAAATGAATAAAGAGCTTATAAACCAAAAAAAACAAAAAAGTATAGCCAAAGTCGGGCAAGGAATAAGAGTTTTGCATGAGTGAAGTTTATAGTCAAAGCTGCTTTTACGGTCACCTCGTTTCAGTGGTCACCTGCCTCTAATGGTCACTTTCTGACCCTCCCAAATGTTTTCTCTATATAATTTAACTCATTTCAGCGGTCACCTGTCTAACGCGGTCTGCGGTCACTAATTTTCCCATGAAATCGTCATTTCAACTTTTAACAAGTCATCATAACCTGTTTGTAACTGAGATAGCGCATTAGGAGGTTAATTTGTGAATTTTTCATGTTCCACTCCTTTCAGTTCCTATTGAAAACCTTATCATCGACTTATTTCTCCATGCATATTAGCTATTTCAAACGTTTTCTTCAAATTTAGAGCCACGAGCAATAACTCTACTGCTTGAAAACCCTAAGACAATTTGCCGGATCCTGGCCACGTGCGATGTCGAAATTTGGTTTTTTCCAGAACCTCTTTTAAAAAGTTAACCTCACTTTAGCAGTCACTTTTGATATTTTTCCATGAGCGACTGCTTAATACAGGATTAACTGTATATTCCTTAATTTAAAATCATTTCTGAAATTTTGTAACAGCAAATTTTTAATAACACAAAATCTGTACTGGGCTCAATTACATATAAGGAAAACTAAATATAATACAATTTTTTCTTCAGCAAATGGTGTTTTGGGGATCAGGTAAGAACAGATATCAATTGGAAATTCCAGAGAGTGCTCTGAAGCGAGTGCCAGATGAATATGACTTGAAGTCCTCTAAAAAGGGTTGGAAAAGATACTGGACGTCAGACATTCAGGACATGTTAGCCGAGCTTGTAGAAGCAGAAGACAGGAAGGATGTAGCTCAAAGGGATTGTATGAGAAGAATTTTTGAGAGTTTTGATGAGAGGTGAGGTTTCTAGCTTTAGATACGTTGTTAAAAAAAAACACCGACTCAAAGGTAAATTCAAAAAGGGTGAAGTCCACAAAACCTGACAAAATCTAGGATACTTTGAGATTTTTCACTATATTTGATGAACTTTGAAATGTTTTATCTCACATTTCTCCCATCTTACGGAACAGAATGATTTCATATTTGGTCAGAAGATCAACAGTGATTTGTTGTATCTTGCATGTTTTGTTGGATCTGTCAGACACCTATTACCTGTTTTTAGATACTTTGAATTACTTATGGTGGGTACGGTTAGCAGGACATTGTGAAATATTATTACCTTCTTATTTAGGGATGTATTGATAGTGAACTTTTGATAAGAGTGCTACTGATGAGCGTTATCTAGACGAAACCTGTGTCTCTTGTATCAATTTTTAATCCTGGTATCTTTGATAAGTCTTTTTATAGTGAAATTCATATTTAGATGTATAGCTTTACAGAAAAGTATTTATAAATTTTAACAAAAAATTAACTTTTCTGTAAACTATGATGTCATGAAAATACTTGATCTGAATTTTCTTGTTTTTATAAATTTTTGTTTTATGAAAGATTTATGTGTGTAATGGACTTCTTGGGTCAAATGGCAGTTAAAAAAAAAAAATTCAATACTTAAAAAATTCAATACTTAAAAGTTGACTATCTTAAATATTATGTTGAAACATTATAAATTCTTAAATATAAGGAAGACAGAGATATCCAGAAGATATAAAGTTTTTATATCAGATTTCATAAGTGGCAACATAAAATTTTTAATGAATTTTATTTTCAGATATAAAATATGGGATACAACAGTACAATGTGTGGCAGTATTAGATGTTTTGGTTGCCATGGCACAGTATAGTAGGTGTGGCGATGGAATCATGTGTAGGCCAGAGGTCATTGCCATAGAATCAAATCGAGAAGTAAGTTTTATTTTCACCTTTGACCTCCTTGTACAGTGCAATGATTTTATTGCCTTTAAACCCAATTCTGTAGTCATTTTAAATTTTATTATAGATCAATATGTGATACTTAAAACAACTATTATTTATCTTAAAAAAAAAAGTAAATGTGGTTAATTCATTTTTGTCGAGCCTTCGACTTTAGTCGAAAAAGCGAGACAAAGCGATCCTACATTCCGTCGGCGTCGTCGTAGTTGTCGGCGGCGTCCACAAATATTCACTCTGTGGTTAAAGTTTTTGAAATTTTAATAACTTTCTTAAACTATCCTGGATTTCTACCAAACTTGGACAGAAGCTTGTTTATGATCATAAGATAGTATCCAGAAGTAAATTTTGTAAAAATAAAATTCCATTTTTTCCGTATTTTACTTATAAATGGACTTAGTTTTTCTGCTGGGAAATATTACATTCACTCTGTGGTTAAAGTTTTTAAAATTTTAATAACTTTCTTAAACTATCCTGGGTTTGTACCAAACTTGGACAGAAGCTTGTTTATAATCATAAGATATTATCCAGAAGTAAATTTGGTAAAAAAATAAATCCATTTTTTCCTTATTTTACTTTTAAATGGACTTAGATTTTCTGCCAGGAAACAACACATTCACTCTGTGGTTAAAGTTTTTAAAATTTAAATAACTTTCTTATACTATTTTGGATTTGTACCAAACTTGGACAGAAGCTTGTTTATGATCAAAAGCTAGTATCTAGAAGGAAATTTTGTAAAAAAATAAATCCATTTTTTCCGTATTTTACTTTTAAATGGACTTAGATTTTCTGCTAGGAAACAACACATTCACTCTGTGGTTAAAGTTTTTAAAATTTTAATAACTTTCTTATACTATTTTGGATTTGTACCAAACTTGGACAGGAGCTTGTTTATGATCAAATGCTTGTATCTAGAAGGAAATTTTGTTTTCTTCCAGTTAACCAAACTTGGACAGAACCTTCCTACAATCAAAAGATAGTATCAAGAGGAATATTTTTATTGATTTACTTCCTCATTTTTGTTGAGCCTGTGATTAACAGAAAAAGTAGGCGAGACACTGGGTTCCGCAGAACCCTTACGAATTTTTAGTCACTAGAAATGAGACAGAACAGAAGCATTACACTAACATATATAGTTGCAAACACATTTTCTAAAAATAATAATTATAGAAAAGAGAGAACCTTTCAAGCATTTTGATTAGTTGTTATTTTTGATTTATTTTTAGCCTTATATAGAAATCCGAGAAGCCAGACATCCCTGTGTTGTTAGAACGTTTGGTGGCGGGGATTTTATACCTAACGATACAATTATAGGTATTGCAGATGTAAGTTGTACAAATGTTTAGAAAATCTATTTGAATCTGTTACTAATGTAAATTCAGAAATTATTGCATGCATTTATTATTGTGAATTTTAAAGAATGGACAGAAATGCAAGATTAATTATTACGATTTCAGGAAAATCTGAACACAGATATATGTATCACATATCAGAATGCGAGCTCTTATCAACTCTGGGAAACTCAACCAACCAGTCGAATTATTCACATTAATAAAAACCTCGCAATAATTTCTGAATTTACAGTTTATAAAAACCTTTTTGACATTGAGTTCATGCTATTGTAGAAATGATTTTACAGGGAATCTAGAAGGATTTTTGATAGGATATAAAGATTAATGATAATAATTTGAAAGTCTGACATTGTTAGGGATATAAACACTTTTGTGTTTATAATGAATTCAGATTAATATTTTACAAAAGAGAGGCAGAAGATACCAAAAAGTTAGTCAAACTCGTAAGTCAAAAAACAAACTGGTAATGTCAAGGCAAAAAATGAAAAAAAGGAACAAAAGACAAATAACAGTGTACAAAACACAACATAGAAAACTAATATTTGAGCAACACAAACCCCACCAAAAAGGGGGGGGGGGGGTGAAATCAGGTGTTCCTTGAGAAATACATCAATAAGGTTAAAAGATTGTTTGACAAGTTGTTCTATGTTTACAAGAGGGTTTGGATGAGGGTCCTTTATTTCTGTATTCTTTAATTGTTTTATATGCCATTTTTCTCTATTCTTTATACTTTTTGTCCATTGTTCTCTATTCTTTATTTTTTTTTGCCCATTATTCTCTATTCTGTAAACTCCCATCCACACCCTCTTACAACATCTATGGTCAGATCATATGTTTTCGAACGTCATATGAATTCGTACTATGCATGCTATTTTAATGAAAATTGTGACGTCACAATGCATTCTTAATAGCATGAAACCCATAATACAAGGATAGTACAAATTCTTTGGTCATTTAACCAACAAGCAAACTTAAAATTTAAGCATAACATACACACTTAAATAGTTGAACTAATTACTCGCTCTTAATTATTCGCAATAATTAAAACCACACAATAATTTCTGAATTTACAGGAAAATGATATGGAGACAGATGCAGAAGATCATTCAAGTAGTAAGGTTGTCTTGGTAACGGGGCCCAATATGGGAGGAAAGTCCACATTGATGAGACAAGTAGGACTGATCACTATAATAGCACAGATGGTAAATTTATTTTCATTACTTAGCCCTTCTTTGTGTTCGTTCCCACAATGCTTATCCTCTCTTTGAGTTTAATCAAACATTGCTTACCATCTGTTTCACTTCATTCAAATCCTGAGGCTATGGATTTATTGTAAATTCTGAAATTTTAGATTTCTCAACGGTTCAGTGTTGTTTTGCCTAATAATGTTGTGAGGGTCATATAGATGAATGTGACACCCTCCATTGGGGAAGAGTTACCAAAAGTTATTGAAAATGATTGTGATATAAATGGTGACAGCTTTGAAAATCTTTGATCTTTTTATATAACCTATTAGAATTCTGATTTGAAAACATTTTGAAATATTCAAGTTACATGAAAGGTTTAAAGTGAAGTTTATCAAAAATATTGCACATTGACGTCTATACCAATTTTGAATATCTAAATACAGTTCATATGTAATCAGCTAGTTGAAGGAAAAAAAATATAGTCTTCTTAAATAAATATGCATTCAATTCTGGATAATGAACTTTGGTCCATATCTTTCAGGGTTGCTATGTACCGGCAGAGAAATGTCGTATGACACCAGTGGATAGGGTGTTCACAAGGCTTGGTGCTAGTGACAGAATTATGGCAGGTTAGTTATTTTAGCAGGTTTTCAAATTAACAATAATAGCTGAGACCAAATGTTAAATCTTATTTCACTCCTTTATGAATTTTACTGCGTTAATTTCTTTAGCACAGTGTTATACTTCTATAGATAATTGAGATCATTGTTCCAAACCATGCACAGCTTAAATGCTATATTTTACTTAGATTCAATGGTCATTACAACTGTAGGTAGACTGTTGGTTCCCAAATGTAACCGCATCATATGCTTATCAAAGTATAGCTGTGGTTATGACTTAATGAATCTTACATAAAAATAAATTGAGTTTGCAATTTTTACCCCTGCCCGCTATTCATTAGTAATCTCTGGGCACTCTGGCTTCCTCTATCAATAAAGACTGACCACATCAAAATAGCCAGTAATGCTGAAAGTGGTGTTAAACACCAATCAGTCAATTAAAAATGATTTTTTTTTGCAGGTTGAAAATAAAAGACTTTTATGTTCTAAATGTTAATATTTTAATACAAATGATGGGGATGTGTTTGAATGTAATGTAGATTTTGTGTTGTGTTTTTATAGTCCTGCATAATATTAAACAATCTTCTTTTTACAGGTGAAAGTACATTCTTTGTTGAGTTGAGTGAGACAGCTGCCATTCTGCAGCATGCTACCAAACATTCCTTAGTATTAATGGATGAATTAGGTAAGACAGCAATTCTTCAACAGCATGCTATCAAACATTTTTAGCTACTAATGGATTAACTGTTTAACTTTGGTTTTTGCTATGAAGACTTAATGTAAAGACCAAAAAAGTCTACGATACTATATTATATAAATGGTACTTATGAACACTTTGAATGATAAAACATTTGTCGCTGAAAAATAATAGTGACATCTTAATAATTCAAATCAACACAAAGACTTTAAAATTGGTGTTTGCTGCTTCTAAATCAAGCACGCACCATTAAGGAGTAAGAACAAAGACCTGTCGTCTCAGTTAGAATAATATGTCTAGACTGTTACCTAGTGAATTAGCATGTTAAAAATTTGGCTCAGCTTGTCAGTGTATTACAAAACGTGGGTTCATATTCATTTCACATTAACATGTTCTCATCCTGAATATCAATTTAATTTGCCACTGGATGTTAAACAGCCATCAATCATCATCCTAATTAATGAACTTTTGAATCATTGAATGTGTTGAAATAGTATAAATTGTTATGTTAATAAAAATGTAAATGTGTTTTTTTTTTTTAGGAAGAGGAACAGCTACTTATGATGGTACAGCCATTGCTTGTTCTGTAGTACAAGAACTTTCCAGAAATATAGCTTGTCGGACATTATTTTCTACCCACTATCATTCATTGGTTGAGGAATTTTCACATGATCCTAATATCAGACTTGGTCATATGGTAGGTTAAACTTGACAGATTATTTATGGCACTCATGGCCATTTAGCAGTTTATTGACTGGCATAAGCAGCTATCTCCAAAAAGGTACATGGACCAAAGCAAATCTGAGACATATATGATTTGTGGAAAATGATTGAATCTTAGCAATCCCTGAAATTATGAAATAGGCAGAAGATATCCAGTGGGGAAAAAAAGAAGTAATTAGACAAACAATAGTACACAAAACACAAAAAGGACTAGCAATATGTACCCCACCAACCTCGGAAAAGTAAAGGGTTTCTGCTCCACTACTGTTGCTAATTTCTGGAAAAAATCTAGTGATAAAAGAGAGGTGAAAGATACCAAACGGATATTCAAACTCACAAGTCGAAAAAAAAAACTGACAATACCTTGGCAAAAAATGAAAAACTATGAAAAGACAAACAACAGTATACAAAACACAGTATAGAAAACTAAAGACAGAGCAACACAAACCCCACCAAAAAATCAGGTGTGATATGTGTTAAGTGGAATTAACCTGTTTAATAAATCATTAATCATTTTATATTGAGATCTGATGTCTGTTTATACAGATGATTACCCAGAATTCAGTACTCTTGAGCTTTTAGTTTGTCTTTATTTATCTTTATTTAGTCTTGTATGGTAGAAAATGAGGATAAGGATCCAACACATGAGACCATTACATTCCTGTACAAGTTCACAAAAGGGGCCTGTCCAAAAAGTTATGGCTTCAATGCTGCTAAATTGGCAAACATTCCAGATGAGGTTAGTAAAAGTTTTGTTTGCTTTCATCTGAAGATAAACAAAAAGTTATTAATTACTTCTGATGATGCTACCAACAAGTCAATATGGCTGATGTAAGTTTTTTTAAAAATCCAGGAGAAATAGGCAAAATTGTGTTTTTAATGGCAATTGCTGTAAATAATAAGCAGTGACTCATTTTACAAAAAAATCTTAAGAGAAAAATACTTATGAACATTTCAGTTTAACTGACAATGGTTTTAAATCATAAGACTTTTTGTGAAAAGAGCCACTGATCTTTTGCATTGAGTGATGTTGGAAGAAGTTATAACATACATTTCATTGGGGTTTCTAGTTGAATTAATTTGACCCACTAGACGTTATAGCTATTGTGTTCTACGACACTTAAACTCTATTTTTGGAATCCCTTGACCTAGTGAAGTCATGCAACAATCATCTTTGCTCTATAGCTTCAGACAGTTTCCCTTTGACATCAAACTTTTACCAGGACATCTGTGATATCCAAAAATGAACTAGCAATAAGATGTATTAAATATTTTATAGTGAGAAAAATAAGAAATAAGAAAGAATAAACCTCAAAGTAAATTTAAGAAAAAACTTATGTCCATATATACTGGTCACTTAAGAGAAAACTATCTTGAGTTGATTATCATTGAAATTTATTTGCATTGTTTGATCCAGATCATGACCCTGACATGGAACCAGCACTTTGCACATGAAAGTGATAGATTTAAACAAATTTGTGAAAATCAACAAAAAAAAATGTTCTTCTTTGTTCCTCCTTTGAAAGCCTTTCTTGAGATAGGGATGTAATAGTTGGTATATAAATTGAAAAAATAGTAGCTATTTAAGTAGCAGGGGAGTTTGAAAAATACTGTAGAAAAATCTGAAATTTAATTATGGTACTGCCAAAATGGCAGGTAGATTGCCAATGACCTTGAGAAATGCCCTATATAGGCTTACTTTACACATAAGCTGCGTCAGATAAAAATCGACCTTATGTAAATGAATATCAATACATGTGTTAACTTATATCGGGTTGAAAAAAATCTCTATGCAAAGTCTGTAGCTGTTTGAAAATTGTGTTGATATAGGAACCCTACAAAGCAGACCAAAATTCATTTTTATTTCGTATTTGATTGTTCCAAAATCAATCAAAGTTTTATACATGTGCATGTATAAAGACACTTGCATAAGTCTATCTGGCCTGCTCACATCTTTACCTTCATAGATATGACCTAATACATTGTATGACTTATTTGCCATTACAGATCATTAGAATAGCAGTAAAGAAGTCCAGGGAGTTTGAGGAGTCAATAGAGAGATTGAGAATGATCAGGTAAATATAATGACCATCTTGTGGTCAAACAATAGGGAGGTTCGAAAAAAAAAGGTTAGGATAAGTTTAAACATGACTTTGTTTTGGACTTTTTCAAAGTTTTTCAAAGTCCTACTCAAATTGAGGCTCTAAGTGCTCTTGGAATTCATTTCAGGTCACCCTTGTTTCACTGAAAGAGATCACTTTCAGTTTACTTAACTTATTTTGTTGGATACTTTTGGTGTTAAGGCATTAAACGCAATTTCTTTTTTCCCAATTTTTCAGCTTACAGGTGTATTCTCATGAGAGGAGATCCAAGTTTGTAATTTTTTGTGAAAATTTATATTTTTTTAATTTTTCAACTCAAATTAGTTGTTTTACATTACAAGGACTAATAATGAATTTGTTCAAACAGCAGAATGTGAATAAAGTTTGTTTAAGAATATAATGCCTTTCAATGTTAAATTGAGCATAGAGCATGTCATGATAAAATTATTTGATTCTAATAGGAAAATTTAGAACTTTTGTACTTCGAAGAGGGCCTATAAAACACGTTCAAAACGCAACCATTTTGATTTTCTGAAGCCAAAACAAAATAAAAAATCAACCTTTTCACGATAAAAAATGAACAGATACATGTAAACTTACTTTTAGAATGATTTTGTTTAATTTCCTATTGAGCAACACCAACATTAATGTCCATTTTATTCTCCGGTATTGTTCAAAATATAACTGAAGTTGCAAATTCAATTGTGACATCAATCATGTGCAGTCCATGTTCTATTGCAATCAGAACATGGCTTTGTTTCCAAAGGAAAAGAAGAACATCGTATTTCAAAAAATTTACATAAAAAAAAGAAGAAAAAAACTAATAGTGAGATGTATGCCTTATTTTGGTTTGAAGGCCGCAATTGTTGCTTTGAGATTGAGAACTGCAATGAACATACCATTCTTAATTTGATTAAGTGCATTTAGGGGCCTTGTATCCTAACATTTTCACCAGGGCACTCCAGAGCTTTCTGCACCAATATAAAAACGCTGAAACAATATATAGCCAATATCAGTGAAAGTGGCTTTAACACCAACAGTCAGGGGTACTACTTGTACAAGTAATTTTTATTTACTTGAAGAAGTAAATATTAATATACTTATATAAGTAAATTTGTAGGATACTTATACAAGTATATTTTATTTACTTGAAATTATTTTTTGGCTTAGTTATGTCCCTTAGACATTCAGATTTTTTTACTTATACAAGTAAAAAAATGAAAATCTCATTTGTCTGTTATCTTCAGAACACTGCTCATTTACAAGCCCCCAAGGGGCAATTTTTGAAGGCCTTGCGCAAATTCTTAAGATCTTTGCGCAATTTGTTTCTTTGTTGAATTAATGAGATGAAACATTGAACTCTAATAAAAAATTATGAGCTAACCTGAGAAAAATTGTTAAAGGCATGCTTTTACATCTCAAAACTTGAGAATTTTTTTCGGGATTGTAAAAAAAAAATTACTTATACAAGTAAATTTTTTGAGAAAATTAAAGGGAGATTATTCAAACATTATAATTTACTTATATAAGTATATTATTATTGACTTCTTCAAGTAAACAAAGATTACTTGTATAAGAAGTACCCCTGACTGACCAACAATCAATCAATTATTTTCATTAAACAAAACATTTTATTTTTAATTTCGGGAAAATTACGTCAGCTATAAATAGAAGTTCTTAAATATGACTGTAAAGAATTTTTTTTTAATTTTAAGGTCTGTATGGAACAATGGAAAGAAAGAATCATTAATACTCCTGCAGAATCAAAGCAGGGTATCCTGAATTAACCCTGTCAAAGAAAGAAGTGATGGTCTATCTAAAAAAAGTTTCAGGAAGATGAATTGTATTTTTAGTGCAGTCAGTGACATTTGTACAGATTTGAAATATCTAATTGGAAAGTTTCTCTTCAATGAAATGAGTTATTTAATATTAGTGATGTTTGATGGTAGATATACCATCATCAAAAAATTGTGAGAGACTTAGATTTGATCAAATGTAAAGAAGAGTTTAGTGACCCATTAGAAGAACTAACTCCACCATTGTGTTCACATTGACTAGGTTCTACTGTATGTACTAATATCATTTCACAGTTTGTTGATGTAAAGTGACCAATGAGAAGAATTAGCTATGTTGTGTTAACTGGTTTCAACTGTATAAAGTGATATCATCTCATCGGTTTGTTGATATAAATTGTTATGACTGTGAATGAAGAATATTGACATCTGTCTGTTTTATTTTACCTGCATGTAAAAAAATCTTTAAAGGATCAAAATTGAATGGCAAAATGTCAGATAATACTGAACATATCCTCTGCTCCAATGTCAGTCCCAATGTCCTGCTCTTCACTCAGGTATAAACAAACATATCTCATTAATTTGTTGATTTTGTATTCTTCTAAATGTCATGTAATATTTGTCTCTGGACATAGGACAAACAGCAATCATTTAGTTAAATGATGAATTTAATTAGTTTGATGGATTAGAAGTTAGTTTGTGCTGATACACTGAAAAGTTCACTTAAATTGAGGGATATATTGATGTTTGTATTCTACAAATATGTCTTATATTGTCAATATACATGTTCATTTAATATCCCATAGTGCTTATATATTCATTTAATTTCCCATAGTGCTTTTATTTTCATTAAATTTCACATAGTGCTTATATGTTATATCATGTTAACATTAAACCAATATGAAATCATTTTGCACTTTTTATTGTGGCCTTGCTGTTTCAGATGTAGTTATTATGGTCCTACCAAAACGTTTGCGGTGTCCTATATAGTAATAACTATGTTTGTCTGTCAATTACACTTTCTATGTCATTTGTTAATTCAAGATTTCCTCTATCAAGCTTTTAGCTCACCTGCCCCAAAGGACCAAGTGAGCTGTTCTCATCACTTGGCCTTCGTCTTCTGTGTCCTTCTTCCATCGTTGTCGTCGTTTTCGTCTCCTTTTATGAAAGGCTTCTCTGAAACTACTGGACCAAACTTGGCCACAACCATTAGGGTATCTAGTTTTAAAAATGTGTCCGATGCAACCCCGCCTGCAAACCAAGATGGCTGACATGGCTAAAAATAGAACTTATAGGTAAAATGCAAGTTTTGTCATATACTGTAAATTCAGAAATTATTGCATGCATTTATTATTGCGATTTTTAAAGAATGGACACCAATGCGAGATTAATTATTGCAATTTCAGAAAAATCTGCATACATATATATGCATCAGATATCATAATGCGAGTTCTTATTATTGCGATACTCACCCAGTCCCATTATTCGCATTAATAATAACCTCGCAATAATTTCTGAATTTACAGTATTTTGAAAACCGTAATAAATAAAGAAAATGTTCAGTTTGTTGCTCGCTACCAATTGTCTTATTACATCAAAACTGTTAGTTGACTTCTTATAGGAAGGCGTTACTGCCCTTTAATGACATATTTTACCATTTTTTTAATTTTTGCCTATTATCTTGAAAACTATAATAGATTTAGAGAAACTTTAAATGGCAAAAATGATTAGCAATGACAAGATTTACAAATAAGTTAGCTGATCGAAATCACCAGTCGACTCTTTATTAGAGTTATTGCCGTTTGATGATGTTTTTTACTATTTTTTTGCGTTTTTGCCTTATTTCTCAAAAATTATAATAGATAGATAGAAACTTAATTGAGCAAAAATAATCAGGAAGACAAGATCTACTATTAAGACAATTATGGAGGAAATTGTCAGAGGACTCTTTATTGGAGTTATTGTCGATGACGATTTTCACCATTTTTTTTTGTGTTTTGCCTTATATGATAAAAATTAAAATAGATAAATCGTAAATAGAAACTTTAAATAACAAAAATGATCAACAAGGCAAGATCTACAAACAAGTCAAATTTTGCCAAAATAGTTAGTAGACTGCCACTCTCTATTTGACTGATTGCCCTTAAATGAGGATTTTTTTTACCCTCTTTTGTGTTTTTTGCAGAAACTAATGAAGATAGAGAAACTAAACAGGCAAACGATCAGCAATACAAGATCAACATAAAATAGATATTTGTCATTAATTCTATTTTTGTCTACAATGAAAGTGTCCTTTGTTGAATATGTACATAGACCTAGGTGAGCGAACACGTTATCTTTAGAATCTCTAGTGTTATTATCTTTGAAAAAGTGTTACCTTTTGAGATAGACAATTGGTATGCTCCTCTCATGAGGATTTTACTGGTCTATATGTTCCTCAGTTTGTTTGTCCGTCATACCCATATCAGGGTAAGGCCTTTGGTTCATGTAGTCCACCATGCATATATGATCACATATACAGCATATACATGAAATTTAGTATACATGATCAATTTATGGTGTGCCATTTCAGGGTTTCAACTCTGATTTCAGGGTTTACAGCACATATAAATATAGTGGCAGTGGAGCATGGTGTCCTATAGATATAATAACATGTGGTATGAGTGCCAATGAGACAACTCTCCATCCAAGTCAAAATTTATAAAAGTAAACCATTATAGGTCAAAGTAAGGTCTTCAACACGGAGCCTTGGCTCACACCGAACAGCAAGCTATAAAGGGCCCCAAAAATTACTAGTGTAAAACCATTCAAACAGGAAAACCAATGGTCTAATCTATATAAAAAACTAGAAACACTTTATGAACCACATCAACAAACGACTACTATTGAACATCAGATTCCTGACTTAGGACAGGTGCAAACAATTGCAGCGGGTTTAAACGTTTTAATGGTACCAAACCTTCACCCTTATCTGAAACAATAGTGTAACATCACAACATAGAAAGACACACTATAAAATATCAATTGAAATGACTTAACTTAATCAAAAGACATATTAACACCAGTGAACATACACTGAACAAATAAATTTGATCTATGATACAATGTAAATACAAAATAAATAAACTGAGGGAAAAATAATTAGAGTAAATGTTATACTACTGTGAAATGTTAAACAATTTAAGAAAAACAATATGCTTGAACAAAAATATCAGCCATTTGCAATTACTTTAAACACGGGTAAATGAAAATAATTTTGTTGTTAGGTATACGTGTACAGTTCAAATGGAGAAAGGAAATATTTTTACAAAATAAATAATTTTGATGTTGATAGTACGAAGAAGTGAAAATTTATAGTAATACCAAACACTTATCAAAGCTGGTATATAGACCAGATATAACTCTGAATAAGTAAACATTAAATAACAAAAAAGGCATGACAATTAGTATCAACAGGTCAAATAAACAAAAAAGTACGATTTGAGAGTACTCACAGTTACTGACAGCTAGTTAAAAGCCAAAAACAATTAATAATAAAAAATCACGCATCAATGACTAAAATCAACTAAAACACATCCCAGGGATTTAGTATTTTAACGTCATAGACAGTCAAAGAAGACATGACTTGCGCAATGCCAAAATTAAATGTATCGACAGGCAGTAGGATAGTTAGGAGTTAACCTCTTTATAGATCAAAATGAATGTGGGTGTGTATTTATACATCCCGTTTGAAAAGAATACAAATTTAGTTATGTTTTAATTTGCTGATGACAAAATCGATACTAGTGCCAATGTAAACTATATTCAAAGATCTAATTACAACATTGGTAAGATAACCTTTACTAATAAGTTTGTTTAAAGGTTCGATGAGTTTACACGGATCACATAGTGATTTCCGTGCTTTAAGTACAATATTACCGTAAAATTTAGGATGTGAAATACCGTTTTTAATCAGTTTTCTACAGGTACAGCCAAATTTACTAATCAAATCTTTGTATCTATGAAAGAATTTTGTAAAAGTTTTACGTAATTTATGGTAACGAAATCACTGACTTAATAATTTACCAGTGATGCATTGATTACGTTCATTTAAATCACTACACACACGGGCATAACGAACGAGTTTGGATATATAAACACCGTATGATGGAGCCAAAGGAACATCGCCGTCTAAAAAAGGAAAATTAACAATAGGAAATGAGAAGTCGTCTCTTTTGTCGTAAATTTTAGTATGGAGTTTTCCTTTAGAGATTGAAATGTCCAAATCTAGAAAAGGACAACTACTGATGTTTATGTTAGATTTAGTTAAAGTAAGTTCTTTTGGGTAAATTTCGGTAGTATATTTAGAGAACTCTGGATTATTTAACGAAAAAATCTCATCCAGATAACCAGATAACGGAAGGTATTGTTGAATGTATCAACCAAATGAAACAATGACGTGTCTTTACTGAGTTTGGTCATAAACTGAGATTCATAGCAATACAGGAATAAATCTGCTATTAAAGGGGAGCAGTGAGTGCCCATATGAATACCTACTACTTGTCGATACACTTTATCGCCGAAACGTACATATATGTTGTCCAGGAGAAAATTTAAAGCTTCAACCATATCATACATTTCCCGTAAGCAGGTAAGTGTATCTAGCATACTTTCCTTTTTCGATACAGAAAAAGGCTTTAAACGAGTTATAGCAAATAAATTTATAATGAGATTTTTCAAAAGACCATTTAATTAAATATGAAAACTTTTTCTTGATAAGATTGTGTGGAAGTGTAGTATAGAGAGTAGAAAAATCATAACTGTCAACAAAATTAAAAGGACCATCAAAAGCATGTATTTTATCTAAAACCTCTAAAGAATTTTTTACACTCCAAAAATAATTAATACCATTATTTTCATAAGCTTTATTACAAAAGTTAATAACAAGTTCTTTGATAGTAGTAAGGAAGGTAGTTAGAAGCACTGATAGATTGGTAGTAGAGCACTTACTAGACGCGGAGATGAAACGGAATTTAAAGGGTTTTTTTTTTGTGCAATTTAGGTAACCAGTACATAGAAGGGACATTCAAAAGTTCGGAAGAGGCTTTAAGCTGGGTAGTGGATGTGATATGCTTGTTTACAGGTTGACTCTCTGTGGAGTGTACGGACCTGAATGTAGCGGAAGAATTTGTAATTTTGGAGACATATTGGTTTTCTATTGTTGTTATGGAGAATTGGTACTTTGTTCCTTTGAAAATGGTCAATATTTTTACTTATGCAATTACTTTGTTAGAAGCTCACAATACTTGTCACACCTGTCGCGGAAGGTGAGACATAGATATTGATTTTCCAGAGTCGTCGCCATTAGGGTTGTCAACAATTGTTAAGTTTTCTGACTGTAGAATTGAACAACTTGTCATAGATGAATGATATTTTCTATTAAATTGCATTATTATCAGTTCATATTAGTTTGACCACTATTTCGAGTCCCCTACCTAGGTCATGGTCCAGTGACTTTGAATTTATTAGCAATTTTCAGTGTTAAGTTTTCTTCTTAAGTCAGTTTGATAGGAACTACTTATGATGGATCAATGCTACCTTTTATAAAGTTCCATTACTCTCAGTACATATAAGTTTGACGACTATTCCAAGACCCTGCCCCCTAGGTCATGGTCCAGCGACTTAAGATTAATTATCAATTTTCAATGTAAAGTTTTCTGCTAAAGTTAGTTTGATAGGAATTACTTGTGATAGGGAATCATATTTTCAATGAAATTGCTACACTGTCAATATATCACAGTTTGACACTCTGCCCTCTATGGCATGGTGCAGCAACTTTGAATTATTAGAAATGCTGTAGTCCGTCAGATTGTATTTTTCTTGATTTTATGCTGACAGGGGAGACATATCTTTGTGTCGATAGTTTATTA